AAACGGGAGAAGAGCCCGAGAATGGGCAGTACAGGGGGAGACAGCGCGGGAAGGGACAGTGGGACTCAGCCAAGCCGGGGAGTGTCCAAAGCGGGGGTGTCCGCCCCGCCCCCGCGGAGAGGCGCGGAAGAGGAGCGCGCCCTCTAGCGTCCCTGCAGAACCACAGCCCGGCGCCTTATCCTCGAAGTCCCGCCCAGCCCGCTCGCGGCGCTGCCCGGTTCCCTTTCTTCGCGCGGCCCTGTAGTTCCGGTCGTGGCGCCCGGGCGGAAAGTTTAAGCGGACGGACTGTGGCCGAGATAGGCTCCGGGTGAGTGGGGAGGCCGCGGGCCGCGGCTGCATTTCGTTGAGTGTTGGGGGCTCCCGGCGAAGGGATCAGTGTAAGGAACATTCGGGCCCCTCTGGGGCCCTCCTCCCCCGGCCTCCCCTAGCCCTGCGACCCGGAGTCTCCAGCTCCGCGTAGACAGCGCGATTTCGTCCCCTGCCTGGGCCCTTCTGTCCCTTTTTGCATGAGAGACTTCCACATTTCACATGTTTTGGGCTGCGATCCAAATGCGAGAATTGTGTATTTCCAGGGTAGACGTTTAGAGATGAAGTCGTCTCTGAAGTCCTAGGGGCTCAGCAGGGCAGGGCAGCTGACCGCGAAGCCGAGGACTATGCGAGGGTTTAGAAATTTAAACGGACCACTCTTTGGGAGGGAAACTCCTGAGAATCATTTTTTTGTGGACGACCTTATTACCTCCTCCAGGGACTTTGCGTTTAAGGCAAAGTCAGGTGGCTAAGATGTATTCTCAGGAGTAAATGCTTCTTGAGAAACAAAAGTCCTAGTTGTCTGCGGCGTGGTTTGTCTATGGCACCGATGGGAAAGTGTGGGGGAGGGGGCTGCGTGGGAAAATTTGAGGGTTGGAGTCAACCCAAGTGAGGAGTAGTACATCGTGGGTGGGGTTTTTAATTTAATTTAATTTTTAACTAGGCCTAAGTTTCTTCAGTGAACCATCCTTCAAGAACATTCAGTTCCCTCTTTGACTCCTGTGCTTACAACCTGAGTACGAAATTGGTTTCCTGCAACCGTGCTACTGTTGCGGAGGTGCATTTGGAGTGGACACAAATGTATGCGTCAGGAGAAAACGCCAGCTCCGGAGGTGTCTTGAGAGAAGGCAAGACTGACAGCTGTAGTCATCCATTCCAGTGTTAACAGCAGATTTCATGGACTGGATGTGTTTTCTCAGACCTGATCTAAGTCTTTGTAAACTGTCTCCCATTCTTCTAAGAGGTGAGGGCAGTACTCCCCATGTTCTGCAACTTTTAAAAAACATGAAGTCCTCCATGCATGAATGGGTCTGGGCAAAGGTGTGGAGATCCCTGGTGTCTCTCTGCTTGCATGAGGATGAGAGGAGGAAATGTGTTTCTGGTGTTCAGGGTTAAAATTTATAATGTTTTGCTATCTGGTGACTAGGGATAGTTCATAAATCATAATCAGATATTTGTTAGGCACCTGCTGAATGCCAGTTATCGTGGTAAGTTCTGAGGAGACATTGGTGGGCAAAATCTGACATGGGACTGCAGGGCTTCACACTTGCAAAGCAGGCGCTCTACTTGAACTGTACCTCCAGTCCATTTTGCTCTGGGTATTTTGGAGATAGGATCTCTCAAACTGTTCCCCTGGGGTGACCTCTGATTGCAGTCCTCCTGATCTGAGATTCCCAAGTAGCTAGGATTACAAAGGTGAGCCATTGGTGCCCAGTTTGTGGGCACAATTTTAACACATTTAATTACCTAGCTTTCCAGTCCACAGCAAATCAGAAAAAGAGAATGATTATAGAGAATTGCTGAGAAAAATGCAATGCATGCTGATGCTCTAAAACTTAATTATAAAGGGAAAGCACCCAAACAGAAACCAACAGCCTGGATCCCTTGAGTATAAGGCAGTGTTTCTATGTGTGTTCTACACAATGCTTGTTCTATGAGACCTCAACAGTAATTATGTAGAAAAGGATTAAGTGGGAAATACAGAATTAGTAAATTAAACTGGATGCTTTGCTGTGAAACTTCGAAGAATCTCTAATAAGATTTGAACTTATTTTTCTTCCAGCATCCCTCCAGAACAGTGTTTTGTAACATACGCTTGGGGAACTGCTGATGGAAAGAGGAATATCAGGGTAGCAGCAGTGCTGGGCAGTATTGACATTTAAAGTGGTGCTTAAGAAGGTGACTTACATTTAGCACACAGTGTTTAATGAGGCAGAGGAGACACATTTAAATTTTTCTGTCAAAATAGTTAAATATTTTAGACTTTTAAGGATTCTGAAAAAGTAATTCATTTCTCTGGTTTAACTGTATTGATACTGGATACGGGAGACATTAATATATTTGAAAAATACCTACTGTCATTGTTGGTAAAAAAGTCTTTTCCTGTTTGACCTGAGTTCCTAATTCCTATTTATAATATGTTTCCGTGAAACAATATGTTCTGAGTTCCCAACAGCCTGCTTACCTTTGGAATTTTACAATAGCACATATTGTAGTTGGCCATTGTACTAATAAGCAGTCTGGCCATTGTTAAATGTTTTGAAGTTAATTCCAAAAAATAAATTTCATATAACTTGTTTTATATTTACCAAATCTTCTGTAATTGTGTACAGTATATACAATGTGACTTTTTGAAGTTGTAAGCAGTATATACATATAGTCCTGTGACCTGCTTTCCTTACCTGTCATATAAATGTTTCTTATATCTGTATCATTTATTTAATATTTTATTGTGTCAACAGACTATAGTTTAATAATAGAGATGCAGCAAGCTGTATCCCCATGAACGGGTCTATGTATCTGTGAATTTTATTTATTTTTTTTTTTGGCACTACTGGTGTTTGAATTCAGGGCTTCACACTGGCACTAATACTGCTGTATTGATAAGGATACTGATGATGGCAAAAAAAGAATAGTCTATTGTCAAATAATACTACCATATGACAACTAAGAATGTTTCTTAGTAAATTAAGTGTTGGACAGGTGGTGTGGGGTTATACTAAGTTGTATAAAATTTTGAAGTGTGAAAGTCAAGGCCTGCCTGAATTTAATGCTTTTCCCCTCAGTGGTGATACTCAAGGTGGCCTTGGTTTATGACTCTTTCAAGTGTGAGGCTAGGAGTAGTCCTCATAGTGCACTGGGCTGTTTACTTCTCAGAATTATCTGCAGATTGCCTTCACCTCAATTTCAATGGGACTTATTGCCACTTATTGCTGGGAAATTGGTTAAAATTATGGTGACAGTATTTTTCCTTTCTGTGATATGTAAGACCGCTTTTATTTTCCACAGCATTTCTCTATTTGTAGCTATCTGTTTGCATTCTGATTGGGAACACTACACTGGAATCGTTTCCATCATGCCGACAGTGGTGGTAATGGATGTATCCCTTTCCATGACCCGTCCTGTGTCTATTGAGGGGTCTGAGGAATACCAGCGTAAGCACCTCGCAGCCCATGGTTTGACGATGCTGTTTGAACACATGGCTACAAACTACAAGCTTGAATTTACAGCCTGGTGGTTTTCTCATCACTTTGGGAGCTGATGGTCCCCTTCACAAGAGATTATAACACCCTACAGGTACAGAAAGGAATGTTATTATATATACAGGACCCAAATTTATTGGGAAGAAAACAGTATTATAGTACTGTAATGATTTTAGAACTTGGAATAATTTAATAATAAGTGAGCTGGATGCTGGTGATTCACGCCCATAATCCTAGCTATTTGGGAGGCTGAGATCAGGAAGATTGTGGTTCGACACCAACCTGGGCAAATTAGTTTGCAAGATCCCCCATCTCCAAAATAACCAGAGCAAAATGGAGTGGAGGTGTGCCTAAAGCGGTAAAGTGTCTGCTTTACAAGCACGAAGGCCTGCATTCAAACCCCAGTCCCACCAAAAAATAGTAATAATAATAGTAAGTGAATGGGTACTTAATATGCTTACCTATAGAACAAGACTCAAGATCAGTAGGTCTTACGGCTTGCTTTGGTAGAGCTATAAGGTAGAGGTAGGGGTTGTTGCCTTATTTTCTTTGTTTTCTAGAATTCCTTATGGAAATACAAAGGTCTTAGAATGCAATGCTCTGTTCCCTAAAATTCAGCATCTTTATGTTCAGCACTTTACATTTTTATACTTTCTGATAAAAACCCTATTCTAGAATAATTTAAAATGATATTTACTCTCCAACAAATAGCTTTGGTTTACAGATGCCAAGATATTATAATCTTTAAACCTTGATCAATAGGTATTGTCTTCCAAAGGGGTTTTCTGAGGAATGCTAGAGAATTTACTTTCTAAATCATTAATATTTTAACAGTGCTTAGCACAGTGCCTTGCCCACAATGAGTAGTCAATAAGTATTTGCGGAATTAAACTGAGCACTTTAGTAATTGTTAGGCAATTTAGAAATCCAGGAGAAATGTAGTTTGAATTTCAAAAATATAAGTAATACATTTTTGTTAAAGCATACCTTTTATCAACTTATTTTTTAAGAAACTCAAAAGCTTTTTTTTAAAAAAAAAAATGGACTTGTTTTCTTATAAGTGCCTAACCTAAAGATTTCTGATATTCAGCAGTTCTGAAACTTAGAATTACTATGTACAGAATGAGGAATAGTGATGAAAGCAGGAGTCCTGGAGTCAGGCTGCTTGGGTTTAAATCTAGTCTGCCACTATGGTCTTGAGACCTGGGAAAGTTACTTAATTAACCTTGGCTTCCTCATTTAAAAGCACAGTTAGTAATGTGGTGATTAAATCCATGCAAAGTACCTGGAAGGATATTTAGGATATGATTAATGTATGGTAAACTTAGTCATTATTTTTGTAATGTGTCACTTGCCCCCATACTGGAGTTTGAACTCAGGGCCTTGCATTTGCTAGGCAGGTGCTCTACCACTTGAGCCATGCCCCTGGCCCTTTTTTGCTTTAGTGATTTTTGGGATAGGATCTCTCTTTTTGCCCAGGCCAACCTAGATCACAATTCTCCTATTTATGCTTCCCACGTACTGCCGTGCACAGCTATTTATTGGCTTTAACCTGGGCTGGCCTCAAACTGGGATCCTCCTAATCTCCACCTCACGAGTAGCTAGGATTACAGGTGTGAGCCACCACCCCAGGCCTTGTAATGTGCTTTAAGCTCCTCATTTCAATATATTCCTTCAAAAAGGTCCAGTTATAAAGATATAAACTTGGGGGGGCTGTCCACTCTAACCTAATAAGGAAATAGACTAAAAGGATGCTCATTTAATTATCCTTTACAGTTGAAAAAGTCTGCTTTACTGTTTTCTTTAAGGACCTATGCTTTGGGGCTCAGAAACTCAATGTTCATGTGTAACATTCATACTTTGAAGAGTTTATGTTGTTTTCTAATACCAAATTAAAACAGTAAAGAATAATGAGCAATTTTATTTCTTATTCAATAAGGAAGCACTAAGTAATATGGATGATTATGACAAAACCTGCCTGGAGTCTGCGTTAGTTGGTGTTTGTAATATCGTTCAGCAAGAATGGGGTGGTGCAATTCCTTGCCAGGTAATGATCAAATCTTTTTCATTGCCTTAAGTTAAAAACACTAACTGCTGTGGTGATTTGATTTTTCTCAGGCTCTGACACAGCATACATTATAATTTCCACAAACTACATTTTACACTATTGGTTCCTTTTTTAAAGAAGGCATTGAATCACTCTAATCATATCACACTAATCTAAATCACACTAATGTGCTCAGAAAGCAGAAAAATTGTACCTTAAGGAAAACATCTTTCTAGCAAATTGGCTTACTGCAAACTTGTACTGTTTGTATAAAAGACAAAGGGCTCACAGGGGAATTTAAGAATTATACTCACTGGAGCAGGTGATTATAATTTGTGTGATAGAATTGTAAACATTAATACAATATAGTCTGTCTTCATTATCTCAGTGTAGCACCTCTCAGCAAACTTCTTAGCCATCTCAGCTGAGTTGTCTAAAAATGAGTGGTATGAAGATCACAAAGTTTTTTGCTGTTCATGCAGACTCCACACTAGCACTGAATCAGAGCAGAGAAAGTGTGCTGATAAAGTAGTAGCATAATTAGAAGGAGAAACAAACATCGCTAAAAGGAAAATCATAATAGTCTGCCACAGGAGTTGACAAACTTTTTCTCTGTTTTAGCCTTTGTAGTTGCCTGGCAGTTTCTCAGTTCTGCAGTTATAGTGTGAAAGTAGTCATAAATAATAAGTAAGTGAATGGGTGTGGCTGTGTTCAAATAAAATTTTATTTATAAACCAGGCAGTGAGCTATTTGTTCATACCTTGCCACAACGTGTGGTGTATGACTTTGTATTACAGAGTCAAACACAAGACTCCTCAGTAGTATCAGTGGCCTCTCTGGTATTTATTTTTTTAATTAAAAATAAGATAGTGGATGCTTGGGAGTAAGGGAAGAGTATGGACCAATTCAAAAGAAGTAGTAGGGAGTATAGGAAGCTCTGGAACTGATCTTTCTGGATTGGAGGGATGGTTTCATAATTGGATACAGTTATCAGAACTCAGAACTGTACACCAAAAAGGGTTAGTTTTTTCTGAATAAATCAAACTTTTAAAAAAAAAAACTTTTTTCCTTACTGTGAAAACTACACTGCTTTATAGAATATATACTCTTGGGTTCATTAAGACCCTGAGCTACTACTAAAATGTTAAATCACTGTAGCAGACACCTGCTAAAGGAGCTAGTGAGTGCCTTTCGATCAATCCCTTTACAGGGAAAAAAAAAAGGAGGTTTGGCACCTTACTTCCTAGGCATAACTTACTATGGTAAATCCATACAAATGGAATATGTAATTTCCTAAAAATAAACTGAATAAATGAAGTTTTGTTGTCAGTATCTTCTGAACTGGTAGCTCTCAGGTAGCAGTTTCATTTTCCTATTTCTTGTGGTCTTAGAGGAGACACTCAGAAAAAATGTTAAGAGCCAGATGGGTACCCTGCCTTTTAATGTTTGTCTTCATTTGAGGGGAAAAACGAATCAGAATTTGAGATGGACTGATTGTATCCTGAGGGTAAAGGGCTGGGTGTAAGTCCACTTAGATTTAAGTGAATCAGATCCAAAACACCATTCTAGAGGTGGTGGTTGTTAGTGATTGTTTTTATAACAGTTACAGTCAAGTTTATTTTAGTGTGGAATTTTTAAGATTTCATTTTATTTCTTAATTGATTGCTCAAAAATTTAGTAACATGGAATGGTTCTTGAATTTGCATGTCATCCTTGTGCTGGGACCATGCTAATCTTCTCTGTCTGATTCCAATTTTAGTGTATGTGCTATCAAAGCAAGTATTTTGTTGTTGTTGTTGTTGTTCTGAGGTAAGATCTCGTTATGTAGCCCAGGCTGGCCTAGAACTCAAGATCCTCCTGCCTCAGACTCCTGAGCAGTGGGATTAGCAGATGTGTTTCCCCCATACCCAGCTTAACCAAGATTTTAGATAGTTGGATTGTGCCTTCATTACCTGAGTAGTCTGTCTCATTTTGACATTACATGAAATATTTCATTATCACCTTGCATCTAAAAAAGGTAGTATCAGAAGTAAGCTGTTTTATAGCAGTTGTTGGTTCCTCAAAGAAGAAATTGGCAATTAACTATCTTCTCATCTTCAAAAAAATGAGATCCCTCCAGAGGACCTCCATTAACATTCTCAGGCTGTAGAAGACAGTGCTACTCTTGGTATTTCACCTAATCCTGCCTTAATGACCTGTTATTATCAAGTTACTGGACTAGGCTAATGAGAGAAAAATAAACCTCCCTAGGATGCTTGGGCTTCAGGTTCACCCTGAAGCAATGAGGAAAGGGAAAATGGTTTTGCAGCTACCATCTACTGTTGGGGTACTTTATTGGCTTTTTAAAATAATAGGCTAAGGCTCTCTGTCTGCAGATTCCACCTGCACCCACCATGCTCCCTTTTATATTTTCCTTCCCTAACTTTTAATAAACTCCATTTATACCCCTCCCCCAAAATAAATATAGGCTAAGTGTGCACTTTGCAAAGGTCTTACACACTTCTGGCCTTTATAAATATATTTTTTAAGAATTTGATAAAATTTTTAAAGCAGGGATAGAATTTTTCATCTTTAAAAACAAAGTGGTAGGCTGGCAGAGTGCCTGCCTAACAAGCATGAGGCCCTGAGCTCAAGCTCCAGTACTGCCAAAAAGAATAATCAGTAGCAGGGGGTGTAGCTTAGTGGTAGAACATGTACTTAACACGCACAATCACAAGGACCCTTGGTTGATCCCTTGCATAAATAAATAAACAAACAAAGTAAAATAAACTGACAGGCTGGGGACATGACTCAAGTGGTAGAGTGTCTGCCTAGCAAGTACCTGAGCTCAAACCCTAGTACTTCTAATAAAATAAAATAGAATAAAAAGTACAATAAAAATATGTAGTACTTTGAAACAAAGCATACCTCTTATTTCCTTATAAAAAAGCTAACGTGACAAAGTTCAGACTTCTGGATCAGTACTTCCTAGGGACACATACGAATGTGCCGTCTGTTTTTTACATCAGTGCCTTAGGTACCAACTACTTATGTAAGAGATGGGGTTCTAGTTTTAATACAATTAAGTAAAAATTGATTATTAATGTTTCTGTTCTTTAAGTAGTCAAAGGCAAGCTTTTAAAAAATGTAATTAAATGAAATACAGTAAAATGCATAAATTTTAAATACACAGTTCACTGCGTTTTCAAAATGCAACACCTGTGTAACCACTAGCACAGTTAGGATATAGAACATTTCCATCACCCCACAAAGCTTCCTCAGACTTCTTTTTAGCAATGAAAACACTGATGAATGGAGCTTCTATCAATGTCTGATTCAATGTATAAACCTCCTCTCTCTTTGCAAACAGGTTGTTCTGGTGACTGATGGCTGTCTTGGCATTGGTAGAGGGTCACTGCGACATTCCCTAGCTACTCATAATCAAAGAAGCGAGAGCAACAGGTTTCCTCTACCTTTTCCTTTCCCGTCTAAGTTATACATCATGTGCATGGCAAATCTGGAAGAGGTAATGCCTTTTACTAAGTTTTTTAGTTTGATTATGCAAATTTTAGGGCTTGGTTTATTTTTTAGTATGTTTGATTACTACTTTATTGCATGTGCTATAATTTTGTAATTTTATAGTCCATTGGTTTCAACTAAGGCTCTTTGACATTTCAGAGTGTTACCTATTTGGGAATATAACGGAGTTATTATCTATCCTGCTGATTGGTCCTGAAGGATTGAGATTGGGAGGGGAGGTGTTAGTTATTTCCCTTATTCAGAAATTCTCATACCCATTGCACCAGAAACGTTGACAGAGCTGTGTTTTGATTTCTTGTAAAGTAACATTATTCTGACATGTGTTTCATTAAAACACTTTGCTTCCTGTTTTTCCCATTTATCTGGGAAAGTTACTTAACCTTCCTCCACCTCAGTTTTTCTTTCTGTAAAATGTAGATAGTGATGGTTCTTGCCAAATGATGTTAAGAACACTTTGGAGGGAAGATGCTATATAAATAATAACTGTGATGTCCTCTGAGGCTCTTTACCAAACTACTTCTGAATGAAATAGTTCTACTGGTGTCATCTTACAGAACTTTGATTCAAATTGCTGTAGCTATTTCCTTCTCATATTGGCTGTTAATTATATCAGTTATTGCCTGTGTTTTTATGATGGCTGTGATCATGGTGTGCTGACAGTAATCTGGTAATTTGTGCCACTTTAAAGGGGTCATCTCTTTTGCTTTGTAGCTTCAGAGCACCGATTCCTTGGAATGCCTTGAACGTCTCATAGACTTAAACAATGGTGAAGGGCAAATTTTTACTATTGATGGTCCCCTGTGCTTGAAAAATGTTCAGTCTATGTTTGGGTGGGTATATTCTTAAAGCTTTTTTGCCTTCTTTACACTCCAATGTTATAATTTGACATCCAGGAAAAATATCTATTGTTTTATTTCTAATTGTGTGATTTCATTTCCCCCACTTCTCAGATAAAATGGTAGTATTAGTTTTTGAAAGTCACTTCTTTTAAATTAAGTATGACTAAACCTATAATGCCTATGAACTCTGACTGTCTTACTGTATTTCAGCACTTTGCTTTTAGGCTTCTCTAAATTGAAATCTCCTCACCAAAAATGTCAAATTACTTTCTGTTTCACAAATGGTCAGCTTTTGTTTTGGAGTCAATGTGGAAGGAAAACAAACTTTACATCTTGAAAAATTACTTTTATTTGTACCATATTACTCTTCCTATAATCCCTACAATTAACCATCATATTCTAGAAAACTGATAGATCTGGCATATACACCTTTCCATGCTGTTCTCAAGTGTGGCCACCTAACCGCTGATGTACAAGTCTTCCCCAGGCCAGAACCTTTCATTGTAGATGAAGAAATCGATCCTATCCCAAAGGTCATTAACACAGGTAACATTTTAAAATGTGTAAAATGTTTCTTCATAGCTTTCCTGGTATCCTTACTTTCTTCTGCATCTAGGAGGATTGAACACAATCCTATATTCTGATACTAAGGTGCTATTGTTATCAGCACTTTAGATTGGTAGATGTATTATCCAAGGGCTGGCAGATACTGACCTTTCATTGTGAGATCATGAGTTAATTTTCAGTCATAGATCATTATAACCCAAAACTACTAGAGTTGAAAGTCATGGTGATACTCAATAGCATTAAAATCCTTGAGTTGGCTGGGTGTAGTGGTTTCATACCTGTAATCCCAGCTCCTTGGGAGGCGGAGATCAAGAGGATTGCAGTTTGAGGCCAGGACCTGCAAAAAGTTGGCAAAGCCCTTATCTCAGTCAATAAACTGGGCATGATGGCATGTACCTGTCACCCCAGCTATGCAGGTGGCCTTGGGTGGGAGGATGGTGATTTGAGGCTGACCCATGCCAGAACAAAAATACAAGACTACCTGAAAAATAACTAAAGCAGAAAAGGGGTAGGGATGTGGCTCAGGTGGTATAGCATTTACCTAGCAAGTGTGAGGCTCTGAGTTCAAACCCCAGTACCACCACCAACAAAAAGGAAATCCTTAAGGTCACTGTAGCACTCTCCCAGCTGAGCTATTTCAGCAATCTAAGGTGATTTTTAATAGAGATGCTAAGATTGGTTAGCATCATAAAGACTGTCTTCTAGACTTAGCTCTGTGACTTGCTGTGTGACCCTGGAAAGTCACTTCTTCCAGTCCTTATTTGTTAGGTAGGTAGAGTCAACCACATGGTCCCTAAGCTCTTAGTTCTGATGTGCTGAACTCTTCCAGTCCTTTTTTCTTTTGAGGTACTGGGGCTTGAACTCAAGGCCTTCACCTTGAGCCACTCTACCAGCCCTATTTTTGTGAAGGGTTTTTCAAGATAGGGTCTCAAGACCCTATCTTGCCCGGGCTGGCTTCAAACCTTGATCCTCCTGATCTCTGCCTCCTGAGTAGGTAGGATTACAAGCATTAACCACTGGCCCCCGGCTTCTTCCAGTCCTTCTTTTACAACTAAAAGAAAGTGACAGGCCACTGTTTTTACCTAGCTCATGTTGCTGGCACCATGCTTAGTGGCAACATGAAGTGTCAAAAATACCAACTAGGCCAGGTGCCTGTGGGTCACACCTGTAATCCTAGCTAGTCAGGAGGCAGAGATCAGGAGGATTGCAGATAGTTCAAGAGACCCTATCTCAAAAAAACCCATCACAAAAAAGGGCTGGTAGAGTGGCTCAAGGTGTAAGCCCTAAGTTCAAACACCAGTACCATCAAAAAAAAAAATTTGGCTATCTGGAAGGAAGATAAAGACAGTGTATTTAGCTTTACCAAATATGGTGTGGCCTTTAAATTAGTTAAATTCCACTTCCCTCCTAAATTTTTGTTTTGTTTTGTTTTTATTAAAATTTTACTTTTTTGGTTTTATTAATTTCTGTTTTTTAATAAATGTATTTTTTATTATCATAATATTGTTGTACTGGGGGGCATATTGTGACATTTATAAAAGTTCTTACAATATATCATAATTGAATTTACCTTCTCTATCACTCTCCTTTTATCTTCCCTCCCCCCATTCCTGGAATAGTTTCAACAGGTCTAATTTTTCCATTTTCACACATGAGTATATAATATTTCTACCACATTCTACACCCTTTCATTATATCCTCCCCCTCCCACTGGTATCAACCCCCCAGGCAGGGGAGTTCTCCATTTAAACAAACAAAAAAAAAGACATTTTTGTTTAAGATAGCTATTGTGACATTTCCATGTGTATATGTATTATATTCTGAATTGTTTCATACCTTCTATTTTTCTCCTTTCTACCTTAGTCCCCTTCTTACGGTGATTTCAACAGGTTTAAAAATCCTATATTCGTTCTTATATAGAAAGTACATCAACCACATTCACCTTCTTAACTTCCTTCTTTTATCCTCCCTCTCTCATTAGTGACTTCTCCTTAGCGTGACCCTCCCGTCTTTTTTTTGATAAGTAATTTGAGTGTTTTTCTTTCCAATAATAAGATCCTTTATGTAGCTTATATTTAAATCTCTATAAAGTGTAGTAAGGTTTTTCTACTCAAATAAGAACTACCTAGCTGCTTGTGTTGATTTGTTACTCAGCTAAGGGAGGTAATGACAGCAAATCTCCAGAGAAACACAATTCCTAATGAATTAGAAGTGCGCTGTGCTTGCCATGATTCTGATTTTTTAATTGTTTTAAGAATATGGATGGGTGTGTATACGCTTAGAAGAAAAATTGAAAAGCAAGTCAGTAAGATACTACTAGAGGTTTCCTTTTATGATGAATAAGTAATAATTCTATTTTTCTCTGTTACAATTTTTAGCATTTTTCAAGTTTGTGTTAATTATATAATAAAACTGAAAAAAAAAAAAAAAAGAGGTTTTGGTGCCAAGCATAGTGGAACATGCCTTTTATCCCAGCACTCAGGAGGCTGAGGCAGGAGGATCATGAGTGCTAGGCCAGTCTAGGCTATATGGTAATTCCCTGTCTCAAAAAAAAAAAGACTTTAGTTACAACTGTTTATTTATTTTGGACTTAAAAACTCTTACAGCTTCTATAAAGCAAAGAAATTGTTATCCTATTGGTTTTGTAAATAATGTATTTCTTGTTCTTGGGGAAATTGCTTTTAATTAAACAGCTCTACTTTCCTTCTTTCAGAAGGCTGAAGGAAGTTGTAGTTACCCCTTGGTGACCTGAATATCCCTGACTGTACAAAGGGACTTAACCTTCAAACTTTTGCCTTTTCTGAGGACCTAGCCTCATAGTATACCTGATCTGTCTGTCATATAACTAACATTCATTAAATTAAAGACTTTTATCATTATTTCCTGAGTTACTACAAAGGCAAATTATTAGTTAGGTATTTGAAATCACAACCTAACAGTGTGTTTCTAAAATCTAATGCATAGAAGATAATGTACTTTCCCTAGTGTGACTTCATTCTATATTGATCCCTTCCTTTCAGATTTGGAAATAGTGGGATTTATTGATATAGCTGATATTTCAAGTCCTCCAGTTCTGTCCAGGCATCTGGTATTACCTATAGCACTTAACAAAGGTGAGTTCTCTTCCTATACCATTGATACATATGAAGCATTATATTATTTAAAGAATGTTAGATAAGTAGGTTAGTTCAATTAGCAAAAGGAACAGTTACCAAATTGGGTTTTAGAAAATACAATGCTTCCTTATATGCCAGGAGGGAAATTCTGCTGCTGTACACTGTGGAAAGACTTTTTTGGTTTGTAAATTTACAGGGGATGTCCTCTGTAGAGATGAGAGTTCTACTTAGTTCCTTATCCAGGGTTCTGCCTTTCCTAAAAGGAACGTGCCAAGCCAAAGCTTGCTAATTGTGGAGGTCACATACAGCTTGGTAAGGGGGTAGAATTCTGTTCTCTGTTCTTCTAGTGCCAGGCACATAGTAGGTTCTCATTAACTCTGTGAATGGATGAGTGAGCATCCACTTTATTTCTCAGCTCTCTCCAAGAAATGTATGTAGTCAGTTGGAGTTCCACCTACTAAGTGTGCTTATGACCTGTTAATGGCCAGTTATCTCAGTTAGAGTGCTCATGTTCCATAACTACTCAGTGACACATTCACAGGCTGAATCTTTTTTTTTTTTTTTTTTTTTTTTTTTTTTGGAGGGACTGAGGTTTGAACTTAGGGCTTCATGCTTGCAAAACAGGTGCTCTACCACTTGAGCCACACCTCCCATCCATTTTGCTGTGGCTATTTTGGAGATGGTAGTGGGAGGGAGGGGGTCTTACGAACTATCTGCCCAGGCTGTACTTGAACTGTGATCCTCCCAAGCTCAGTCTCCCAAATAGCTAGGATTGAGGCACAAACCATTGGCATTTGACTCACAGGCAGAATCTTGATTTGCACCTACAGGTGACTTACTGTGTTCATTATAGGTTATAATTTGCTTTGTGTTCTCAGGGAACAACCAGATTTCCTTTATTTCTAAGGTCCTGAAAGAAATTCTGTATGCCTATACAACTGCTAAGAGAGAAAATGAGCAAAATAAAGTGTTTATATAGGGGAACGGTGGAAAGAAAAATATGGGAAAGCAGAAGAGGGCCGTGCTGTAAGGGCTGTTGAATAGCAAATTAAACTGGGAAATTCTTCCTATTGAAGTAGAAAATTTTGAACAAGACTGAGCAGACAGGTATTCATGGAGGAAGTTAATTTTAGGAAGTTTCCTGTGGCAGCAGAGAGTGTGAGAGAGTCTGGAGTTGGGGAGTCCAGTCAAGAGGCTTACAGAGTAATCATTGTGTACTTTGGACCTGCCATCCACGTATTGCTTGAAGTCAGAGTTTAAAACACACCTGACATCTCTGTATCTGGTTCTGTTTAGATGGGTGCCTGGAACCTCCAGATGACATCTAACTGAGCTTCCTACTGGAACTGTGCAAAACAGGATTTTTTAGATGGCAGCTCTACTGAGATATAATTCATAATCTTATACTTCGCCCACTTAAAATGTGTAATTGGGGTTAGGGATTTAGCTTAGTTTAGGAACCTAGCAAGCATGAGGTCCTAGGTTTAAGCCCTAGCACCAAAAAAAAAGTTGGTGAGAGTGTATAATTAAGTGATTTTTAGTATCTTTACAGAGTTAGTTGTAAAACCCTCATCAAAATACTATTAGAGCTTTTTCATCATCCCCCAAAAAGACACCCTATTCCTTTTAACCACCAACCCCCAGTCTCTTGGCCCTAGATAACCACTAATAGCCTTTCTATCTCTGTGGATTTGCTATTCTGTATGTTTGATATAAATGGAACCCATATAATATTTGGAAAATGATTTTTATATGGATATTGGAAAACTGGTAGGAATTTACCCAACTTTTTATAATATTCCCTTACAACTCTGCACAGTTTCTCTTCAAGACTAGGCAGAGCTAAGCATGTAATTGGGGTTTGGAGTTTTTGTAGTTAATGTTGCTCTAACCTGTTTCCCTTTTACAGAAGGTGATGAGGTGGGTACTGGAATCACTGATGATAATGAAGATGAAAATTCAGCCAATCAGATTGCAGGCAAAATACCCAACTTCTGTGTCCTGCTCCATGGCAGCTTAAAAGTGGAAGGAATGGTTGCAATTGTTCAATTAGGGTAGGAAACTTTGTTTACATTTGTTTGAATGGAAGGGAAAATTAGTTCACTAGGTGAAGCATTTTACAGATTTTTCTGAAAGAAACAGAAAGGTCCTGGTCACCTTTTTCTTTTCCCTGCCACACTCTTCCCACCTGTAATTTCCTTTTAAACTACTCTTTAAAATCATTCCCTAGAGTAAGTATGCAGTGAGCCTTTTAATTATGCTGGTTTTATATTATATTATATACTTTCTCAGTTTTCCTTTTTTGATTATTTATCTTGTTTACTGAGAGAGGGTTTCACTTTGTAGCCCAGGCTTGTCTCAGACTCGCAATCCTTCTGCCTCATTCTCCCAACTGCTGGGATTATAGGTGTGTACTACCATGCCAGGCTAGTTTTCCTCTTTTTAAATCCTGTCTAAGTTCCTAGGTTCCAACTATAAGAATGCTACTAACTTATTATAAGAACTTGGGCAGGATTCACAGATTCCACATTGCTAAAATGAGGGGGTAAAACTAAATGAAAAAAAAAAAATGCTGCATGCTCGGTGCAGGGACTCATTCCTATCAGGCAGAGATCAGGGGGATCATGATTGAAGACCAGGCTGGGCAAAAAGTTAGTGAGACCCCATTTCAACAAACAAGCTGAGCATGATGGTACCAGTCCTGTAATCCCAACTATGTGGAAGTCATAAGTAAGAGGACCACAGTTGGAGACTAGGCCTAGGCAAAAACACAAGACCTTATTTGAAAAATAACTGAAAGCTCAAGTGGTAGAGAAAGCCTTTCTAGCAAGCTTACTGCTAACATTGAGCATTTTACCATGTGCAAGGCATTCCTCTAAGCCATTACATATATTTACCCATTAAACCCCCACAACAGCTATGCAGGTAGTATCAACATTAACCCCACTTTATAGATGAGGAGACTGAGGCTTAGAGACACCAAGACTTGTCAGTTAATAAAAGAGCCAGGATTCTTACCATGCACTCATACCCCAGATCCTGTACTTGAAACTGCTCTTTGGTAGTCCTTCCCTGTGAGGAAAGCTCTTCTGCCTTCTGCACTATCTGCAGTAAATCTACAAGTCTGTGAAGCAATCTACTTGTCTTTCTGTAACACCTGTTGTTAGATAAGAAGAGGTGACCATTACCTCTGGCCATCACGGGGGTTGATGATGTGGAGGATCAAGAGGTTAAGATGAACCACAGGAAGCATGCCTCCCTCTCTGCTTGAGTGAAAATTAGCTGGTCCAAAAAGAAGAATGTAATTCTGTCTGCTTTATTTCTTGACACCCAAGCTACCTGTCCTGACTGTGAATATGAGAATCACCTGGGGTCCTTTGAGAATCTGGGACAGTGTTTCTTAAGCAACAGGGTGATAGCCTTGTGCCCTGTGGTAGAAGGGCTTGCCTGCATTGGGACTGCCGTGACTCAGGGGGCAGCTGAAAGGACCCATAGGTTGTAGCTTTTACTCCTCCTCGTCACAGTACAGCTACTTGCTGCCCATTGTGATCTGGTTTTTTTTTTTTTAAACTACTTTTGATCTCCATATATACATCACTTTGCTTGAATAATCCTAAGTGTCCCAGAGGAATGTAAGTACCAGGAGACAGCAGTGTGCATTCTCAGGTTTAGGATTTGGCTTTGGTAAGAGCCATGTGTCTTGATTTCAAAGCTGCATTTGTCTTGAGAAAAGCACAGCCTACACTTGTACTTGACAGGCCCGGGCTTGATGTTCTTCTGTCTTCTCTCCATCCAGTCCTGAATGGCATGGAATGCTCTACTCCCAAGCTGACAGCAAGAAGAAATCAAACCTCATGATGTCTCTCTTTGAGCCTGGTCCAGAACCTCTCCCATGGCTAGGGAAAATGGCACAGTTGGGTCCTATTTCAGGTATAACCCAGATCGGATTTTACTTATCTTGACTTTGTTTTCTCTCTGCCATTTTGAATGTCTCTGGCTGTAGTCAGAAAGCTTTCTGAGCTTGCTTACCTGCGTGCTGTGGTCTCTGATGCTGGATGCGTACATAAAGAACCCCAGGAGAGCTCAGGGGAAACCAACATTTAGGCTGCTTTAAGTAAATATAAACTCTTTAACTGCTTAAAGTGAGAAGCTACTTTCCATTTTTTTCCTTAGTGTACTATTTTCAACCCAAGTAATCACCAGTCATCCTTAGACTCTTTAATCCCCCTCCCTTCTTGAAGCTATTCTCCCTCAACTTTTATAACATTGCTCTTAACTTTTTCTCTGACATTTTTTCTTTTTCTTCATCTTTTCTTTTCTTCCTCTTTCCTTGCAATTAATAAGATGTTGTTCTTTACCTTCTTTTGGTTATTTCTTCAGCTTTAATAATTTCAGACTCCCTAAATCTGTAACTCTAGTCTCACCTAATCTTTCCCTGAAATTTGCATCTTATGTTTCCAGTTCTCAGTTGGGACCTTTTCTCCTGGATATTCTGCCAAAGTCTCAAGTTCAGCATGTCTCTTTACCCCTTTCTCCTTAAACTGTTCCTTTTAGTTTTTCCCTTTGATTGAGCTTTTGTGCTTCTAGGTCCTCATACTCCAACTGTGGAGTTATCCTTGACTCATTTGGCTCATTTCAACTTCAGGGACATCTACCATCTATTCTGTGCAAGGCCTAGAGGATGAAAGAGCTAGCTAGAGTTGCTCAGTCTGGTGGGAGGTGGACTGATAGACTACACAAGGTCAGGGTTAGCAGGAGGAGGTGATGAGCACATCAGTTCTGCCTAGGACTCAGGAATATCTCCTCAGGGAGAGATACCCTCGGTGAGTTTTGAAGAAAAGGAGGAATTTGCCAAGCTGATGAAGGACAAAGGAAAGAAGGAGATAAAAAGCAGAATCATAAAATGTGAGCATGAGTGTGGGGGGAGGAGCAGTTGGTACATTGGACTTTGGCAGTAACTAGAGCAGAGCAGGCCTCTGAAATACAAAGAACCAATACTCTTCTGCAGGTTCTGGGGAGCCCCTGCAGAGTAGTAATGTGATCAGAACCCTGACTATAGTGAGAACAGCAAGGATAACAGTTAGGAGTTGTATTTAGGTGCTGGTGTCTCTGGAGTTGGACCACATGACCATATCCAAGTAAGAGATAAGACATTTGCATGCAGAAAGATTACTCTGTGGAGTGTAGATTTGAAAAAGCAGGAGCATCCTACAGTTAGAAGTTACTTCAGTAGTCCTGAGCAGGGCAGAGGCTGGGAGGAAAAGGTTCTTAGGAGGTAGCATCAGTAGTGTCTGGATATGAAAATGATCCCAGGCATCCGGCCTTGGCTACAGGCTAAAAGGTAGCCTATAGAGAATCAGGGAAGAAGGGTAGCTTTGGGAAGAACATATTTTGTGCATGTTGGCTTTTTGTCTATGAGCTACAGGTTGGAATGTCTAGAGATCATTCCTATGGGAGTCTGGAATTAGGAGAGAAGGCAGAGTTGGAGATTGAATTTTTAGTTTAAGCTTGTCACTTGTAATTACAAAGGTGAGAGTAATTCACAAATTTGAGTTTTTGTGTACAAAATAAACCTTGCTTAGAAGTTCTGCTTCCTGGGCTCACAATAGAGATCCTGACTCAGTTGGTCTGGGTTCAGGCCTAGGAACTTGTAGTTTAAACATTACCCAAGTGATTAGAATCCAGGTGATCTCTGACCATTCTTAAAGAGCCCTGGCCTCAGGAAACTAATAAGGAAGAAAAAGAGTCAAAGACCAAATCCCTAGAAAGTACCAAGAACTGGGGAAAGTGGAAGGGAAAATGAAAAGGAATAAACAGATTACAAGAAAGTAGAAGGGTGATGTCACAGAAGCCAAGAAGGTAAAGAGACTACAAAGTGGTGCCCTATAACATCTGATACACATGCACATGCCAGTTAGGGTCTGAAGAAAGCCCTTTGCCTTCAAGGCTTAGAGAAAAGTTTGGCTGGATATAGGCCCAAGAAGGTAGACTAAGGGTCTGCAAACTTTTTCAGTGAATATTTTCAACTTTGCAGGCCATGTGGTCTTGTCACAGCTCTTTAACTCTGCCACTGTAGTACAAAAGTACCCTCAAACAATATTCAAGTGAAACTTCCAATAAAACCTTGTTGACTCTCAAAATTGACTTTGATATAATTCAGATGTCAGTGAAATATTCTTTGATTCTTTTCCCAACCATTTAAAATTATAAAAAACTTTTTTTTCTTTTTGTGATGGGGTCTTGCTGTGTTGCCCAGGCTGGTCTGAACTCTGGGCTCAAGTGATCCTCTCACTTCCTGAGTAGCTGGGGTTACAGTCTTGTGCTGATCCCTCCCCCTTCCCCCACCCCAGCTAAAAACGATTCTTCATTAAGTATGGCCATGCATGTCTGTAAGGCCAGCCTGAGTAATACAGTGAGACCCTATCAAGGAAGGAAGGGGAGGGAGGGAGGGAGGAAGGGAGGAAGGGAGGGAAGGGAGGGAGGGAGGAAGGAAGGGAAGGAAGGGGAAGGAAGGAAGGAAGGAAGGAAGGAAGGAAGGAAGGAATTCATTCTTTCGTCAAAGACAGGCAGCAGGTCATAGCTTGGCAATATTTGGTGTAGGATCCAGGGACTGGGGTTTTCCCCAGAACCACAAATAAGTAAAGAAAGAAAGAAATCTCATACAGGGACAAGAGGAAGAGGTGTGATTACTTTGGTTCCAAATAAGACAAAGAACTGAAAACTCAATAATGCTGAGAAGGTAGAAAGAAGGTCTATCCCCTTGTGATGGGATGGCAAGAAAAATTCTACCTGCTTCCTAGATAGGAAGAAATTTTAAACATAGCCTATTAAAATTAAAATCAAATCTTGCACTGTGTAAATTGACACTACACTAATGTGGGACAGTGTCAAAACTGACAGCTGTGCTGCACATCCAGAAGGTAACAGAATATAATGGTGCCTTAGGGATACCTCTGCGGCCCAGGGCTAAAGGACTGTCAATGGAAAGCAAAATTTTCCACAACAGATGAGTTTGCCATTAAAAAACAGGTTTGAAATCACCTGTGGAAGGGAGGCCATCGGGAGGATTCATGCCTCAAGAACTAAATCTGATGACTGTTATAATGATTAAAGACTTTTGGTGGGACTGAGGTTTGCACTCTGGGCTTCATGTTTGCAAAGCAGTTGCTCTACCACTTGAACCACACCTCCAGTTTGATTAAAGACTTTTAAGAGAAATAGGACTGGAGATGTAGCTCTTGGTAGAGCACTTGCCTAGCATGCAGAAGGCCCTGGGTTCAATCCCCAGCACTAGAAGTAAATAAATAAGTAAAAGACTTTTAAGAAGAAAGGGAAAGCATTACTAGCATATAAAAAGAGAAAGAAGGCAATAATTGGAGGAGACTATAGGGTAGAGGAAGTTGAGTTCCATGAGTGCGTGTTTGTACATCCATAGCCCTACATTTATTCTGCCTTCCATTCTTTCTGTTCTTGTCCTGTTTTGGGTTTCTTTACTTTTCACTTAAACCAGAAGTCAACAGCCTACACACCAAACTGGCCTATTGGCTGTTTTTGTAAATAAAGTTTTATTAGAACACTGTCATATTCATTTATATATTACTGATGGCTGTCTTCCTGCTTCAGTGGCAGAGTTAAGTATGACAGAACCCATAATGACTCATGAAATCTAAAATATTTATTGTCTGGACCTTCACAGAAAAGTTAGCTGACTCCTGACCTAGACTATTGTGATAGCTTTCACCAAAGGTATTTGTCAGTATCTAAAACAGTATCATTCACACCCCCTTCTGATCTGGCTTTCAACCTAACAACATTCAGTATGCTTTCTCTTCATTCATATTGAACTGCTAGTTACTCTATCCCCATAGAAGATGCTTTTCCTCCCTCTAGGTCTTTTCTTTTCATTGAGAAAAGAAATAGCTAACGTTTTATTGAATTTAACTTTGTGCCAGGCACTGTGTTAGACACAGTGAAATTTACTATCTTATTTACTTCTCAGTTTTATGAGATTGGAGTTGGCATATAACAAATGATAATTAAGAAAAACAGCCGTTGAGAGAGTTTATAGAGGAAGTATGTCTTAGGTGCCTGGTACACTTAGAAACATAATGGTGGATAATGCTACTTTTGTTTTTCAAAGCAGAACATGCAAAATAATACTACGGGCCTCCTAGAGACAATTCTTCTCTTGGTATTTACTTACATTCCCAAATAATGCCAGTAATGTAACTAATTCTTGATTTTTTCCATTTTAGGGGTATACATGTATGTGTCCACGTGCATGATGTGTGACTTGGAAGGATGACTGTTCAGATGTGCTATAGGCATGTTGTTACATGTCATCCTGAGTCTTCCCATCACATCTCTAAGAGGCATCTCCTATCATGATCTTACAGAGTTGAAAGGGGACATAGAAAGTAAATGTTTTGAAATTGTGCTTTTGTAGAAATATCTTCATTTTATCCTTACATTCAGTTGGTAGTTTGGTTGGATACGTTCTAAATTGGAAATCCTTTTCCCTCAGAGTTTTGAAGCATTGCTCTGTTATGAGAGTCTTGGGCCATGCTGACCCCCAGGCCTATGACCTTGAACTTTAGTTTTTCTACTCCCTAAGGATCTTTGTATCTCTGGCGTTCTGAATTTTTAGAATGAGCTGCATAGCTGTTGGTCTCTGCATTAGTTCATTTTGCTAAGTGCAGTGTACCTTTTCCATCTGGCCTTCACTGTTCTTTGGTACCAGGCACATGAGGATTTCTTTGGTTCTCCTCTTTCTCTGTTCTTTCCCATTTGTGATTTATATGTGTGTAATTTTCCGTCTTTTCCATTTTCCTCCTTTTCTTTTTGTTCTGCCTGCTGTAAGGTATCTTCAACTTTATTGTACAGCTGTTTATTTTTTTATTTATACTATAATTTTTCTTATTTCTAAGACTTTCTTGTTCTTTTCATGAGCATGACCCATCGGATCTTAGCCTGACTAAAAAGGTTTATATCTTGACAGGAGTTAATGGAAGTACATCTGGAGGGTTGGGGTAATATTTTTTAGTGGAGTTGGGGAGTGGGGAGGGTTGATAAACCAGTGTTAAGTGTAATGACCAAATCAGGAATAGAGAACATCTGGCCTGGTTACAGAATTTGTTCTAATTCCAGTTTTCAACATGAGTATTTATTTGGGCAAGGGGCTTATACTCTCTGAACTGCTAACTGTTCTGTCTGCCCCAAACTATGATAATAGTAAGGACGAAAGAATCACTAGATGTAAGTGTGCTCTGCAGATGGTTGGCAGATGCAAATCTGCCAGTGACTCAAGAAACAGGTGCACAGGTTAAAACGTTGTTTATCCACTCAGCTATAAAACCACCATGGCTTTAAGTCTTGGAAGCAATTGACCAATTCAAAAAGCCATAATGTTGAGTGCTCTTCTCCAATGAAAATACTTTTTCCTTGCTCTTTTTTTTCATTTGGCTATATATAATTTTCATTTTGAGTTCTTTTAATGCCTAGACCGATACTGCCTAACCCAGTAACCACTAGCCACCTGAGGCTAGAGAAATATAATTAAAATTAAATAGTGTAAAATTCAGTTCTATATGTTGAGTGCTCAGTAGCTCGTTGCTACTATAGTAGACAGCACAGGTAGAGAACATTTCTAACATCACAGAAAGTTCACTTGAAGAGTGCTGGGCTGGAACAGAGAGCTGCAGTGTATATGTGTGTGTATTTTAATGTCGTGTGTATTTTAATGTATGTATTTTAATGTTGTATGTATTAGTTCTAACCTCTCTGATCTTAATTTATGAAGCAGGTAAGTGAAGCTTGTTTCTTTAAAGACATTAAGCTGTTTTTCACTTATGTAGGCCTCTGTTGTTTGGTGTCCTACATCAGTGGCTTTCTGTTGAGAACAGGTTCTCCAATCTCATTGAAGTTAGTGGATTTTCTTAATTAATGAAGTCAGAGGATCAAGAAGATTTAGTAATTCTCAAACAGCTGCTTAGCCTAATTGGAAATGTAGTTGGTTGTGTTTTGCCAGATGTCATTTCAAGAATGTCTTTTTCTTTTAAGATGCTAAAGAAAACCCTTATGGTGAGGATGACAATAAAAGCCCATTCCCTCTGCAGCCCAAAAACAAACGCAGTTATGCCCAGAATGTGACTGTCTGGATCAAACCCAGTGGCCTGCAGGTAACTTTCCTGTTCACGTCACTTTCCACTGGGGCAGAAGGAGGTGCTGGGTGGGTAGGCAGGCAGACACACATTTGATTTGATTTTCCTTTCCTTTGATAGTTCATAATCCATTTACTTCTAATGTTTCTCATTATTTACAAAAAGGATTTGAGATGGCCTAGGGTAGAATACCTGCATAAAACCATTTCTTAGAAAATTTAGAGCAATAAGAAACTTAAGAATGAACAGAAACTATTGTGCCTGTGACCTGAGGCAAAATGGTAATTGCAGTTGAGCAGACTGGCTCTGGGCTTCCTACTACCAAGGTCAAAAAGGAAGGAAGTTGGGTAATAAGGTTTTTCTTGTCTGAGAAAAGGGATGCATGCCAGTTCTTGTAGAGAGGCATATTTTCCTGGTTTTGGGTATTAATATAATGGTGAGGCATTGAGTGATATAATCAGTATTGTCTTAAACAGTTTTGAAAAAGATGTAAAGGCCTCGCATGGTTATTTTCTTCTGTCCCTCCAATAGACCCCAAGCCATAGCATTATACTGTAATCCACAAAGACACTCTCATGAATGCCTTCCAAGTACTCAAGGATATTTCTCCTTCCATTGACATGGTCACTTATTCCTATTTTTAAAAATCACTTACAAAATCTTTTTCTCCTATGAACACCTCTTTCACATTTCTTCCTCCAGTGAGTCCAGTCAATGCAAAGTGAGAAGAGAGGCAGGCAAGCCATGGACAGCGATAGTAGCTTCCATTGACTCTCCTCCAGCCCTTCTCCTAGGAGGCTGAACCACATCCTGCCTTGACTACGGGAGCAGAGGCTTCTCTTTGTTGGAAAATCAGCCTCTCCTTCCTTCCTCCACCAGTTATAACTGAGTTTTTCTTAAATCATTACTCAATTTTTTTGGTCCTAGGTATATTTTTTATTGTGATAAAATACACACTTGTACCATTTTAACCATTTAAAATGTACAATTTAGTGATTTAGGGCATTCACAGTTATGCAATCACCACCATCTAGTTCCAGAACATCTTAGTAACTCCAAAAAGGAAACCCTGAACCTGTTATTAAACAAGTCACTCCACATTCCTTTTTTCCAGAAGGCCTTGATAATACTAATCTGCTTTTTGACTCAAGATATTTCATAGAAATGGAGTAATACAATTTCTGGCCTTTGTGTATGGTTTCTTTCACTGTGAATAATGTTTTCAAGGTTCATTCATCTTGTATCATGGATCAATATTTCATTCCTTTGTTGTTACTGGGGTTTGAACTTGCTTAGTAGGCCCTCTACTACTTGAGCTCTACAGCTTGTGTTTTTGCCCGAGCTGGCCTCAGACCATGATCCTACTACCTATAAGCTCCTGTGAGATGACAGACATATGCCACCACGCCCAGCCAGTTGATTGATATAGGATCTTGTTAACTTTTTTCCTGGGCTAGCCTTGAATTATCTCTGATCTCTGCCTCCTAAGTAGCTAGGATTACAGCATGAGCCATTGCCCCCAGCCAACCTCATTGTTTTACATGTGGATATCCAACACCGGTTATTGGAAAGACTATTCTGTTCCCACCAAATAGTCTTGGCATCCTTGTAAAAAAGCAGCTAGCCTTATATGGGTTTACTGGTTATATTTTTATGAGAGAAATTGACTTTTTTTAACATCAAGCTTTTTGAAGGAGGAAGGTATTATACTAATGTTTAACAAAACACTGACATTAACTTCAGTGTCAAGAGGAACTTCCTCTTGACACTACTTTTCTCATTTTCATTCCTTTAAACATTTAAAGCCACACTTTTGTATGTTCCCTTTTACCACTGCATTCTAATGCTGAATTTTTTTACCTTTAATAGACAGATGTACAGAAGATTTTAAGAAATGCAAGGAAGCTCCCTGAAAAAACACAAACATTCTATAAGGTGAGACTGTCAGTATTACAGTAGAAAAGGGCATGCCTTGCCAGAGGATGTGCCTAGGAAAGTGGTTCACAATAATAAGAGTGAACCACTCTGGGAGCTATCACTCTGGGGAGTTATCACTGAGCTATCACTCTGGGGAGTTATCACTCTGGGAGTTAGCACTCTGGGGAGTTATCACTCTGGGAGTTATCACTGGGGAGTTATCACTCTGGGGAGCTATCACTCTGGGGAGTTATCAATCACTCTGGGGAGCAGCATGAACGTGGGCAAGCATTAGAAATGTGTGACTTGTCTCTGTTTTATCAGTAAAGTCGGTGAAAGTCATAGGTCTGCTTCTGCCTGACAGTCCAAGAACTGAAAGTGCTTAATTGGCTCAGTCCTGTGCAGTAGGAGGGCTCCTCCATTTTGGTATCGCTGTAAATGCTGTCACAGCCCTGAACCTTCCTCATCCTTTCAGTCCAACCTAGGCAAGAAATGTGCATGACTTCCTGGGCTGGGGACTGACCAGACATTCTTATTGTACTAAAGAAGCTGCTTTCAGGAATGACTTGTGAACTGCAAATTGGACGACCTCCATAATGTCTAACTAATCCAGAACTCTTGGTGGAGAGACTAGTTACAAGGAATGGGGTGAAGTGGGAGGTATTTAGGCTCACTTCTTGTTTCTCCCCATCCTTGTGTGTATGAGTATCTTAACCTGCTAGCTGTAAAATGTGGCATACAACCAGCCTCAGGCTAGCATCTCTTCTGAACATACAATGCTGTTGTGTCTGTTTTTTATCTCATTACCTTTATTCACTATTGTCTTCAAACCTAATTATGTAGAAAGCTGGGGGAAATCAAGCACATTTATAGTTTTTTTTTTGTTTTTTGAGCCTGGGTCTCACTACATAGCCCAGGCCATTCCAGAATTCACAGTTCTCCTGCCTCACCCTCCTGAGTGCTAGGATTACAGCTTTAATCAGAGTTCAGTCAGAGAGCCTCTTAGCCAGCCAAGTTCTTCCCCAACTGAATTCCACAGACCACACAGGTCCTTGATAACCATTCCTCAGCTCCAGTCCCTGTCTGTCCACACCTGTGAGCTATCTACTCAAGGTAGCCACTTGAACTTTTCACCTTTTAACAGATGATAATAGAGGTGAACAGCTGAAAGGGGCCTCTAGCAACTGACTGCTTTAACTTTGGCAGCGGACAAGGGGTTATCCCCATTTTGTGAACAAGGGCTCTGAGACCAGAGCAGCTAAGTGGCTTGATTGGATGCTTCCTATCTCTGTGCTTCCATCCACCACCCATCGTTTTTGTGGCAGTCTTTCTAGTCTGACTCCTCCAAGCACATTCATTACTCCACGTCCACACCAAGAGGCACCAGAAGGTTCAAGGCCCTGATTTTAAGCAAGCCTTTTCTACACCTGAATAAGAGGAAAACTATTTCTCCATGTGGCTGAGTGGATGATAGACACAAAGTGCTTACCACTGCTATGATCATGACCAGTGGTCCAGTCACCTGTAGGAGAGCCACTTGCCAGTTACATCATCACACTCTCATTACTGGCTCCTTTGTATAAAAATTTGGTCCTGTATAAAAATGCTTCCTACAAGTTGGGGGTCAAAGCGCTTATTCTGCCGGGCGCCTGTGGTTCGCACCTATAATCCTAGCTACGCAGGAGGCAGAGATCAGGAGGATTGCTGTTTAAAGGCAGCCCAGGCAAGTAGTTCACAAGACCCGATCTCAAAAGAAAACCATCACAGAAATAGAGCTGGTGGAATGAAGGCCCTGAGTTCAAACCCCAGTACCGCAAAAAAAAAAAAAAAAGCTTATTCTAAGCTGAGCACTCAAAAAGCATATGATGAGAAGAACACGCCTCAGGAACATTGGTGCTTATTCTATTTCAGGAGCTGAACCGTCTTCGAAAGGCTGCTCTAGCGTTTGGTTTCCTGGACCTGCTCAAGGGAGTGGCTGACATGCTGGAAAGGGAATGCACACTGCTGCCTGACACGGCTCACCCCGACGCTGCATTCCAGCTGACCCATGCTGCCCAGCAGCTCAAGCTGGCCAGCACGGGCACCTCAGAATATGCTGCTTACGACCACAACATCACACCTTTGCATACAGACTTCTCTGGGAGCAGTGCTGAAAGAATGTGAGACTGACTTTTTGAGCCTTCCTTTTTTCTGTTAAGAAAAAACTTTCCAGTGTGTTCACATCTGGAACAGCCACCCAAAGACCTTCCTGAGGCTGCCTCAGAGCACTACTTGCTGCTTTGAATGCCTCTGCTACTACCGTCAGAGATGGGTCTGAAGGGCTGGCTGCTCCGACTTTAACTGCAGCTTCCTGGGGCTTGGAGTCTTTGTTTGAGCTCGGCAGCTCCCGTGATGGCGCATCTGAGAAACCTGAATGACTGGCGAGCACAAAGCTCCCCCACCTTCCTTGGGAAGCCTGACCAGGAAGGGTTTGTAAAAGCATCTTCTCCCCTTTCTAGCATTATGTCTCAACTATGAGGACATTTTCAAGCTTCTGTCCTTGGGATGAGCACACTAGACTGGGTCTTGCTTAGTACAAACTCAAGAGCCACTGTTTCAGAACTTTCCTTAGAATTTGGCAGAACTGGTGGTAACCTTCAGGTGCTTTGGTGTATCTTGAGATAGACTTTTAAATGTTAACCATATGTGTGTAAAATGATTCCTGTTATAAAATTTGATTTTTCTATAAAATGGTTTCACTGAGAAATGCATGGCCTTTTGGTCTGTTCTGCCAGTCACTTAAATGTAACTCAGCTTCCTGCATAGCAAATTCGTATCTTGAAGTTTCTTGGGTTCTAAATTTCTTGGGCTTCATACTGACTGACTTCTGGTCTCTGACACTGATCATGATCAGAATTTGTTGTCTAAACCAGGACCTGGCCAGCAGATCCTGGTTCAGATAGCCACTGATTCAGTGTGAGGGTTCAAATTCACCAGCCAGCTAGCTTCATGAACCTGGGCAAGTCAGCAATTTTTGAAGGCTTTATTTACATCAACATGCTTTTCCTGCTGCTCTGTGGCTTCCTTCAGAAGGAGGGGTCAGGCTTTATGCAGAGCATATATACTTTGGTTCAGCAGGATGACAAAATACATATTATTTTGTCTGAACAAAGGACTTTTAAAAAATTTTTTTATTATTCATATGTGCATACAAGGCTTGGGTCATTTCTCTCCCCTGCCCCCACCCCCTCCCTTACCACCCACCCTGCTCCCTCCCTCTCCCCCCTACCCCCTCAATACCAGGCAGAAACTATTTTGCCCTTATCTCTAATTTTGTTGAGGAGAGTATACGCCATAATAGGAAGGAACAAGGGTTTTTGCTGGTTGAGATAAGGATAGCTATACAGGGAGCTGACTCGAATTGATTTCCTGTGCGTGTGTGTTACCTTCTAGGTTAATTCTTTTTGATCTAACCTTTTCTCTAGTTCCTGGTTCCCTTCTCCTATTGGCCTCAGTTGCTTTTAAGGTATCTGCTTTAGTTTCTCTGCGTTAAGGGCAACAAACGCTAGCTAGTTTTTTAGGTGTCTTACCTATTCTCACCCCTCCCTTGTGTGCTCTCGCTTTTATCATGTGCTCAAAGTCCAATCCCCTTGAACAAAGGACTTTATCACTAATCATTTGAAAAAGCACAAGACTAAATAATCTTTAGCACAAATTGTTAGGGTTTTGATTGTAAATGTTTTAATAGAAATACACAATCTTTCACTTTCTCAGACAACAATGAAGGAGATCCTGACAGTCACAAAGAACACAGGGGTTTGTCATAAGGATGCAGCATCATATTGCAAAGCTGCTCTGCCCAATCACACGGTCAGTTGAAGGAACATTGGAAGTCAATACAAATGAGTGTTGACAGAAGGTAAAGACATGCAAAGTACCCCTTAGTGCAACAGATCTCTAAAACCCAGCCAGTTTACGCTAATCAGATGCTTTAGGTCAAACCAAGTTTCTATCTTGGCTCAGTGAAACAGCACTAAGTCAGCAAGTCTCCTTTCCCCCCAAGAACAATGGGAATGGTAGAACAGAAAGAGCTACTATGCCTTAAATTGTATACAAGTGTTACTTCTAACACTTTACTTGGTTTACATGGATGTATTAGAGGAAACTGATGTTTTTTACAATGGCCAACCACAATGTCTGGATTTTTTTTTTTTCAGTTCTCCTCCTGGTGGGTTTCCTGCCAGGAATCTTTTTTTAAAGTACCAGCTGGCTATTCCCTAAAGTTCCCACTATTTTCAGTGTCCTACTGCAGACAGGTAAAAAAAACAATCTAACAACAGCAGAAAAGGCAGGTGTTTTTTTGAGGTTCAAAAGTGTACAGTTCCACCTCTCACTTGGAGAGTAAATGGAGGAGACTGACTGTGTGCACAGCTGACCCTCTGTAGGCATGTCTACCTTACTAATGTTTCCAGTTTGCTACAGGCCATATTTATCAGCAGCCAATTACTGCCAGTTTGGTCCACATAAATTTATTCCCATCTGGATTTGGAACCCTTGTAATCTCACTGCTTTCTAAATTATGTTCCCTCTCTCGTGTTGAAAATAATTCCGATCTAGCAAGAATGAAGTGACCACCGTGTGCCAAAGTTCTGATTGGTTTCTCTTAAATCACTCTTTGCCTCTTTAATGCCCATACAGTAAACAATGTGGTAACAGATGTCATTAAGCCAAAAGATGTCAAATGCAAAATGTTCTCCAGCCCCTCTCTGACTCAGAAATGTTTTATCAATGACCGAAGTCTACATTTTCATAAGTCAAGCTACCTCACTGCAAAAGGAACCTCTTGGGTACAGAATATATTAGGTCCTGCCTAAGTCACTTTCACAGCCTTTTATAGAATAATATACTCTTTCTAATTTTTCACAAAAAGCAAGAGCTGAAAGGAACAAATCCCAACTGTAAGAATGCTCAGTACCTTGTTGGGACAGAGCACTGAAACAGCATCTCTGGCATGTTAAGAATAGTGGGGTAGGGTTGACTCTTCTGTTGTTAACTAAATACACAAGAATGAACCTGTTGTCAAATGTCAGGAGTCCATGTCATGCAAGCACTACACTAAGATAATACGGGAAATTCAGGAATGTTACTGGGGGAAGGAAGATAGCTTCACTGAGAATTCCATTCTTTAACTTTAAAAAAACTTTTACATCAGTACAAGAAGGTAAAACAGTAAGAATCATAGATTAGGCTCAAACTGGCAAGAAGCTATCTAAATCTCTCTTTAGTGGACCTTTTTCTTTTTTTGTCCATAGCGCCGCCTGCGCTGTTTATAAAGGTGACGAAAATTTATATACAGCCCTGAAAAAAGAGAAAAAAGTTAATTAGCAAAGAGAATCTTTACTTTTGTCTCTTGTAAGGAGAAGCTGTCTCCAGGTGTTTGTGTTTCACAGCCCACAGAACTGAGCACACGTGACTGCTCAGCTTGTATAACTTAGAACAAATCAATGACAGCACTAGAGACAACCATCCTCCTTCCCTGGGGCTTTTCAACTCAATTTTTTCCCACACTTTAGTGTACATTTTCAAACAAACATCTTTGTATAATGAACACAGCTGCATTTAAGCTTAGCTTTTCACTATCTTTTCTTTATGCCATACTCTGTCATCTGTTCATTTGAGTCACTTCAAGGTTCGCTGCAAGTATCAATACACTGCACCCCTAAATACTTTATTAAGTATAGCTCAATACTTTTTCTTTCTCTTTTCCTTTGTGCATACAATGAAATGTACAAATCAAGTGCAGAAATAACCTAATTTTTAACTCAAGGCTACTCAAGAGCATGTATTTAGCAATGGTCTAAAATATGAGACACTTTCCTAGGACTCACAATTCAGTGAATTAGGAAACACAGGATTTCAGAGTCAGAAACAAATTTTAATCCCACCTAAGTAGGTTCTATAGCTTAGTCTTACCTCAGTATCCTTATTTGTACAATAGGGTTAAAAACGCTTATTTTATAAAATTTTGAGAATGAATATATGTATAAAAAAGTGCTCTGACCTACATACAAGTGTTAATGGTATTACACTGTTTTGAAATTGTCGATGTTAATTTAAGATTTACTTCATTTAGAATAAGAGCAATATATGTATTACAGGCAAACTAAATACACACATAAAATCTTGCAAATTAGAGTGTATAATAATACAAACAATATGAAGAAAAGATCCTAGAGTTAGTGCCTATTAAAATATTTCTACCACTGTTTTTAATAAAATATTCTAAGTGTCTTCCCAGTATTTATTCTACTTTGCCACTTTCTTATGCCCATTTCGTGGAGCCTAGTTATAGAAATACTGGCTTTACACAGAGTTAGAAGTAAGGAGCTCTTTTTATGAATATGTCTTGTAAGCTGAAGCTTGTGCTCTTCAAGGTTAGAAAACATGTTAGCATTTTTGGTTAGAAATCTTTCTGAAATGGATTATACCCTTTGCTGAAACAGAAAAGAAGAAAATTTAAAACTTCTGCAAATGGCCTAGACCCATAATGTGTATTATTTAACTGTCCATCTGCCATGTGCTGATAACTTGAGGGGCTCCTACAGGGTGTAGAAGCTTTCTGACTTCTTGATATGTTTTGTGGTCTTCCTCTCATGATCTGGGATAACCAGCCTCTAGGATGATGTCCACCCCCAGGCATTTCATCCTGCATTGTGCTGGCCTGCTCTGTGTGATAGTACGTCACTTCTGAGATGTGGTTATAGAAGGTACTGTGGCTTTTTGCTCTACCTCTGAACACTTGCTCTGCTGGAAGCCATGTCATTATCATGAGCAGCCTCAAGGAGAGGCACTGGGGCAAGAAATGGAAGATTCATAATAGTCACAGAGCAAGCTGAGAACAGGTCCTCCAGCCCCATCCCACAAGAGACTCTGAGCCAGAACCACCCACCGAGACTGCTTCCTGACCCTCGGAAACTGCAAGACGGAACAAATGTTTGTGTTTTCAGCAGCTAAGTCTTGTGATAAATTGTTACATGCTGTCTACTGCCCCATCTTCTGCTGCCCAGGCAGCTAGACATATATAGGACACCTCAAGACTAAATTTAGTCAAATAAAGCAAGAACATATAAATTAACATTAAGATGTATTAGAACTTTATAGTAAGAACACTGTCCTTTGAATGAGAAGGATTTTAAATTTCTCACATTTGTAATAATTTAGGTTTACTTCTTTTTTCCTTTAGTGTTTAATGGATTAAGGTGGGCATTTATGATTTTATATAAATGTGAATTACTAATCAAGCAGGGCTTCTGCTCTTAGGCAGAAGGCTTGCCCAGCCTTGGCAGCACAGAGCCTTTGCGCTTCATCCTTCCTTGCTGCCCGTTGTACTACCATCTTTCTAAAGAGCAGATAGGAATGTGCTATTGAAAGTTGTAAAAGTAAGCCAGGCATGGTAGTTCACATCTGTAATCCCAACTACTTGGGAGGTGGAGATTGGGAAGGTCATGGTTTGAGGCCAGCAAGGGCAAAAAGTTCCCAAGATTCCATCTCAATGGAAAAAATGCTGAGTATGGTGGTGTATGCCTGTCATCCCAGCGACGGGGGTTGACTGGAATGGAAGACATGGGGGAGGTGAGAGTATGAGACAGAAGGATCACTGTTTAGGCCATCCTGAGCAAAAAGCAATACCCTATCTCCAAAATAACCAACGCTAAAAGCACTGGAGACAGCATGCCTCAAGCAGTAGAGTGCCTGCCTACAGAGCACAAAGCTTCATAGTTCAAAATCCAGTACCACCAAAAAAAAAAAAAAGAGGTAAAAGATGAGCTTCCTACTTTATTTTACATTAATTTAATTTTTAATTTTTTTTATTATGAGACAGGGTCTTGCTAGGTTGCCCAGGCTGGCCTCAAGCTCCTGGGTTCAAACAACCTCCCACTTTAGCCTCCTAAGTAGGTGGAACTATAGGCATGCACCACCATGCCTAGGTCTTACCAAATTTTAAAAGGGCTTCTCCCAAGGACTAAGAACATAATTCACCCACTGAAGACTTGGGAGGAAGCATTTCTACACCTTAGCATATTCTCCTAGTGGGTCTGTTTTTCCAAAGTAAATCTCTAACCCTGTGCTGTTCTTCCAGAAGAAGGATTCTAATAAGGACTTTTAAAACTCTGAATGAGAATGGGAGGGGTGGCTCAAGGATAGAACAAAAGCCTTGAGTTCAGCCCCCAGTACTGCCAAAAAAAAACCCACCAAAAACCCTTGAGTCATTTAACTACCCTCTAAAAAGTGACAGGAAAGTTTGTATCACAGAGCCTATACTTACCTAAAAATAACAGTATAAGATAAATCTGAAGGAAGAAGGAAAATCTAACTTTGATTTTCACTGGATATGGCAATGTAAAACTGAATCTTCCTGTCTCATTAAATACTGGAATAGACTGGATCACTGAGACCGCTGAAAACAGAAAGGAGAACTCATTAGGAGCAAATGACACAGGCCCATCCAGCCATAGCCCTCCCAGCCCAGCCCTGTTTCAGTCTGAGTTCCTAGAGGTGTTTTCTCCTCCCCTTGTACAGAAAGCTCCTGCCACTTTTCTCCCTCAGTTCTTCCTGAGACAGGCCTCCAAGCTGTCAACAAGGAGATAAATGAGGACAAGCATGGCACTGGGCTTGTTCCCTAGCCTATAAAATGCAGAAAAATCCCTATCTGACTCACTTATTAGGCGTTTGTCAGAATACAATGAAGTCATTAATAACCTGCTTTAAAAGATTAAAAAATATCATATAAATGGAGAGTGTGCCATCCATGACCACCCAGCTTCCAAAGCCTTACAAAATGTTCCTGCTTGTAACAGCCAGTGGTATTACGGAAGGAGGCCACAAGAAAGAAACTCCTGAAAAGCCCAATACCCCACTTATCAGATTAAGGCTGGCAGAGGCAGACCTTAGAATACTCCTTGGAGTCAAGCTAGGAGACCTAGAGTTTCTGAAAATACCTTCTGCCAAACATCCCAGAGGGTACAGGGGAATCCACACAGTGTAACGAAGCCATGTGAGCACCTTCCAATCCATGTCAATGCAAGAAAGCATGTAGAAGGGGTACCTATTGAAAATACGGAATTCCAGTGTTAAAGCTACTTCAGGGTCTGAATGCAACCCTGGAGTATCATTCAAGAACACAGAAGAATCAGTTTTCAGTTAGCCACACATGGCTTCTTCAGAACAGAATTAGGATCCTGGCTATCCACCAACAAACTCCCATAGGGCTATTCTCTAACTCTTCAAAGGATATGAACTCTCTTTACTGACAGACTAAGTTTAGGTCTCAAAGGAACCCTGTTTGATCGGTGTATGTACTGGATGCTTAGAACCTTTTTAGCTTGATTCCTAGTTCTGATCTGTTTTCCTAGTGGGTAAAGATGGCTGGAAAAATAAATTGTTACAAAGCGCCTCTAATCTAGAATCAGACATACTCTATTTTAAAAGATACATCACAGGAAAGAAATTTGTTTTCCCAAACAGTAAAAGTTAACAATAGGCTCTGTAATCTGTTTCTCCTTTGCATTAAGCAGATCAGAGGGCACAGTGGGTGCCATGAGATACAGACCCATGCCAACAGCTAAGTCACAACCTAAGCTGCAACTGCCTGTTCTCCTTCTCCATTTTTAACTTTGCCAAAAGACAGTCTGCAAAATCCTACCTCCACTTGACTAAACAGGGAAAAAAATTCAGAATATGTATGGTCTGGTAAATAAGAACACTCCTTATACTGGATCCATTTTTTTAAAAAGATGTTTCTTTGGTTTAGTAAAGTGGATCAAGCTGACAATCCTAGCTACTCAGGAGGATCGAGATTTGAGGCCAGTTAGGGCAAAAAGCTCACAAGACCCCAATGGCTAGGTGCAGTTTTGTGTGCCTCTTATCCTCCCACTATGTGGAGAAGCACAAATAGGATAGTGGTACAGGCCTGCCTGTGCAGAAAGCAAGACCCTATCTCAAAAATAACACAAAAAGGGCTGGGGGCATTGTGCAACTGACAGAATGTGTGTCTAGCAAGCACAAGGCTCTGAGTTCACACCCAGTACAAGATTTTCATCTATCATCCCTTCTAGAAGGCCTTCTTGACCAGTTCCATCCAAAGTGAACTGCTCCTTCAGCTTTGTGTTATGTTAGCCCTCTCAAGTATCTTCCTCATGAATGGGTTCTTGATTATTTCCAACCTCACAGCAAGATCCTGAGGTCACAGTAAGACAGGGCTTTCATTTCTTTTTTCTTCTTCCTTTTCCTCCCCTGGTTTTGAGATAGGGACTCGTGATGTAGCTCAGGGTGCATTATGTAGCCTAGGCTGGCCTCGAACTCGCCATCCTACTGCCTCAGTCTCCTGAGACCTGGGGTTACACCTGGCCTGACTCTTTCATGTCAGCACACCTGGCCTGACTCTTTCATGTCTCTGGTGGTCTCACGCTCCCTGGTGTCCAGACTCCAATCAGCTCTTAAACCCATCTGCTTCTACTCTGCAGAGCACACTGATGTCATCAGACCTCTCCAGATACATAACTGTAGTCCCAAACCAAATGGAATGCTGGCCAAGACAGAACTTCCTCAAGAAGAGAGCTGATCCAGAGAGAACCATATTCAAACACTGTGGCATTTCTACCCACCTGAAAATTTCAGTTGCACTCCATGCATAAAACACAAAGAAAACCACAGCTTTGTTTTGCATTTCTTCCGTGGTGCCAAAGATAATAAACAAAATAAAATTTCTTCCAAGAAGCTATTAAAAAGACCCAAAAGAGAAGAAAAGTTAAAAATGTATGCGTGTCACATAAATGCTTTATCTAATCCCACTAAATAACAGAGAAATAGAAAAGACTGAGCTCAACAAGTTTAATCTTGTGTCAGTTTTGGAACAAGTTCAAGTACCCACACCAGTCTTTCTGGATAGGCAACTACATCTTAAGTGCATATTTAAAAACAAACACGCATGCAAACCCACACATTCAAATAAAATGGAAAGAATACTTCCATGAACACTTGTGCCTATATAACCCGAGTTAGAACTCAGCATTCAGCCCCATAAGTAACCATCCTGGTACTCACTCCCCTGTTTCTCTTCATAGGTTACTGCATGTGCATCTATTTCTACACAACATACTGTTTCATTCTGCATCTGTTTAAACTTTTTCAATTCATGGCCACCTGTGCTGATGCACGTGGCTACAGGCTACCCATTTCCACTGCTGTAAGGCATACACCACTCATGGCCCACATACTATCTTAATGTCTTCTAGGGTAAGTCTCTACTTGGGTTCTTCTTTTAAAAAGAGTATTTCCTGGCCACTTGCTGGGGTTTTCTCGTTTTATTTTTTAAAAGAGACAGTGTCGCCCCAAATTCCTGAACTCCTAAGTAACTGGAGTATAGAAACACACCACCACAACCAGTTACTTCCTCATTTTTTAAAAAAGTGTGGTAAACTACACATAAAATTTATCACCTTAACCCTTTTTTGGTCTTTTTTAAAAATTCTGTTTATTTTTTCTGTGGTAGTGGGGTTTGAACTCAGGGCTTTGCACTTGCTTGGCAGAGGCTCTAGCACTTGGCCACTCTGCCAGCCCACCTTAACATTTTTAAGTACATAATTCAGTGGTATCACATATATATTCCCAGGATCATTGTAACCTAGCTCCATAATTGTTTATCTTGGAAAACTGAAACTCAGATTCATTAATCAGTAATTCTCCATTCCCCTAGCCTCTGGCAACCACCACTCTATTTTGTTTCTATGACTCACTATATAATACCTCCTATAAGAGAATCATGCAGTATTTATCTTTCTATGACTGGCTTATTTCACTTAGCATAACGTCCTTATGGTCCATCCATGTAGTAGCATGTGTCAGAATTTCCCTATTTAAGGCTGCATAACACACTACCACAGATATCTAATTTGCTTCCACTTTGTCTATTGTGGATAAGGCTATTACCCAGGCCTTTTGTTTTTCCACAAAACTTCAGAGGTTTCTTATCGCATTCCAAAACTGTTTATAATGGAATTGGAATTGCATTTAATCTATATAGGTATATAGAACTAACATTATCCTAGTATTGAGTCTTAGAATTGAAGAAAATTTTATCTGTATACTTTTTGCATTCTGTTCCTTTTTGTATCTCAAATAGTTCACAATTTTCTCTTCAGATGTGTCTAATATACTTTAAACACTATCCATTAAATTTTAAATTCTGATTATTTTTTACTAATAGAAGTTCTAAACCCACTCATCAGTGGTGGGGCATCTTGGCTGTTTCCATAGCTTGGCTATTGTGAATAGTGCTGCAATAAACCTGGGTGTGCAGGTGTCTTTATTATACCTGACTTACATTCCTTTAGGTATATCCCTGGGAGTGGAACTGCTGGATCATGACAGTTCCATTTTTAGTTTCTTGAGGAGCCTCTACGCTGTTTTCCATAGTGGATGTACTAATTTACATTCCAGCAGTGTATGAGGATTCCTTTTTCCCCACATCCTTGTCAACATATGTTGTTTTTGTTCTTGATGATAGCCATTCTAATAGGAGTGAGATGAAATCTTAACATAGTTTTGATTTGCATTTCCTTTATGGCTGGGCATTTCATCATGTGTTTTTTGGCCATTTGGACTTGTTCTTTTGAAAAATCTTTGTTCAGGTGACTTGCCCATTTCTTCACTGGGTCATTGATTTTTTGGGGAGTTTAGTTTTTTGAGCTCCCTGTATATTCTGGTTGTTAATCCCTTGTCAGATGTATAGCTGACAAAGATTTTCTCCCATTCTGGGGGCTGCCTCTTTAATCTGGTGACCATTTCTTCAGAAGCTTTTTAGTTTCATGTAGTCCCACTGGTCAATCCTTTCTCTTAGTTGCTGAGCCATTGGAGTTCTATTTAAGAAATCATTACCTATGCCTATTAATTCCAGTGTATTCCCTGCACTAGCTTCAAAGTTTCAGGTCTTATATTAAGGTCCTTAATTCACTTTGAGTTGATACTTCTACAGGGTGAAAGACATGGATCTAGTTTCAGTTTTCTGCAGGCAGATACCCAGTTTTCCCAGCAACATTTGTTGAAGAGGCTGTTTCTTCTCCACGGTACGTTTTTGGCACCTTTGTCAAAAATCAAGTGGGCGTAGATGCGCTGATTCATTTCTGGGTCCTCTACTCTGTTCCAGTAGTCTTCATGTCTGTTTTTGTACCAGTACCATGCTGCTTTTATTGCTATGGCTCTGTAATATAGTTTGAAAGTTCAGTATTGTGATATGTCCAGCGTTGGTCTTTTTGCTCAGTATTGCCTTGGCTATTCACAGTCTTTTGTGCTTCTAAATGAACGTTAAGGTTGAGTTTTCAATCTCTGTGATGAATGTCACTAGGATTTTGATGGGGACTGCATTGCTTTTGGTAGTATAGACATTTTCACAATGTTGATTCTGCTAATCCATGAGTGTAGGAGATCTTTTCATCTTCCGTAGTCTTTTTTCAGTTTCTTTCTTCAATGGTTTATAGTTTTCATTGAAGAAGTCTTTCACTTCCTTTGTTAAATTTACTCCTAAGTATTTTATTATTTTTCTTTTAGTCTATTGTAAATGGAATTGTTTTCCTATATTCTTTCTCAGTCTGTTCATTGTTGGTGTATAGAAAGGCTACTGATTTTTGTAAAGTGATTTTGTATCCTGGTACTTTGCTGAAGGTGTTTTTGGTGTCACAGTTTTTTGGTGGAGTTTTTCAGGTATAAGCTTGTGTCATCTGCGCAAATAGGGATAGTTTGACTTCTTCCTTCCTATTTGTATTCCTTTTATTTCTTCTTCCTGTCTTACTGCTCTGGCTAGGAATTCCAAGACTATGTTGAGTAAGAGTGGAAAGAGTGGACACCCTTGTCTTATTCCTGACTTTAGAGGAAATGGTTTCAGTTTTTCCCCTTTTAGTATGATGTTGGCTTTAGGTCTGTCATATATAGCCTTTATTATGTTGAGGTACATTCATCAGAGCTTTTATCATGAAAGGATGCTGAATTCTGTTGATGGCTTTTTCTGCATTTATTAAGATGATCATGTGGCTTTTGTCTTTGCTTCTGTTACTATGTTGTATTTCGTTTAATTATTTGTGTTATGTCGAACCATCCCTGCATCCCTGGAATGAAACCAACGTGATCATGGTACATGATCTTTTTTATATGTTGTTGACTTTGGTTTGCCAGTATTTTATTTGTGAAGAATGAAATTTTGTCATTTGCAGGTAGATGGGTGGAAATGGAGAACATCATCTTAAGTGAAGTTAGCCAGGGTCAGAAAACCAAAGACCACATGTTTTCTCTCATATATGAAACATAGACCCAATGCAAATACAAGCAATATTATGAAAAACAGGTCACACTAGGGGAGGTCACTAATGAGAGAGGGAGGGTAAAAGAGGGAAGTTAAGAAGGTAAATATGGTTGCTGTACTTCCTATATAAGAATGAATATAGGGGCTGGCGGAGTGGCTCAAGTGGTAAGAATGCCTGCCTAGCAAGCGAAAAGGCCAAGTTCAAACTCCAGTGCCACCAAAAAAATAAATAAAATAAAATTTAAAAAAATGAATACAGAATTTTTAACCCTGATGAAATCACCATAAGAAGGGGACAAAGACAGAAAGGAGAAAAATAGGATGAACCAATTCAGGTTATAATACATATATACATGGAAATGTCACAATGAAATGCCTTGCATAACTATCTGAAACAAAAGAAAAAATATCTTTTTTTTTTTTTTTTTTTCAAAAACAGAGAACAGGAGGCAAAACAGGTCCTGTCTGGGGAGCTGGTACCAGTGGGAGGGGGGAGGACATAAGGAGAGGGTAAATATGGTAGAAATATTATGTACCCATGTGTGAAAATAAAAAGATGAGACATGTTGAAACTATTCCAGGAAATGGGAGGAGGGGGATAAAAGAGAATGGTAGAGGGGGTGAATTCAACTGTGATATTTTATAAGAACTTTTGTAAATGTCACAATATACCCTAGTACCACAATAAAATAAATTTTTAAAAAAGAAGTTCTATTTGCCTCCTTTCCAGATCTGCTTGTATTATTTATTTTCTTATATCCTGTTCAAGCAGTCAAGTTCTCACTAAATCCGAATTTTCTTATAGACTACAGGAGGGGTACGAATTTACTTCTAATCCACCTTTATAGGCTGGGGCCTGGGTCAAGTGGAGAATGCTTACCTAGCAAGCACAAGTCTCAGTAATGAACCTTTACATGCAACTCTTTGTAGTCTGGGGAAGGCTCTCCTACTGAACTCCCTACTTGAGTCAGATCTGAGTTTTTTATATTGCCTATATCTTGTGATACTATAAAACTGAAGTTGAAGTTCACTTGGTTTTGCAAATCTAAATGCAAAAGCCAGTTTCAGTGATCAGATGATCTACATAGGTTCTATCACTTCATTTTGGCCTGTTCATCAATGTAGTTGGTATTTCTTTCCTACATCTAACATTTTCAGCATGTAAGCTCATCAGGCCACCTAACCTGCCACACTTCCTGAAACAGAATCTTCTATAGTGTTTTTCAAGCCAAGTAAGCACAATTTGTCTTATTAACCCATGGCTACTTTATATCAGGAAATATTCTTCATCAAACCACTTTAGCTAGATATTGAGCTTTTAACTATTTAATCTTTCCTCAGTGAGTGAGAGAAAGGAAAGTTTGCTCCCAACTTCCTACGTTCCTGTTCTACACTGTCTTCTACTTACTCCTACCTGGTTACCCAAATAGGAAACTACACTCTAACTGTTCATGTCTCAATGAGACAGAGACTACTCCTTACTCAGTGCACATGGTAAGCCATGTTAACAGTCCAATCAACCTGCTATGGCAAATTCAGCTCCCAGTCTGGGCCCATGTGATGTGATGGTTCTGAGCCTGTCCCTTCTACCTGGTATCAAACATTCTACCTTAATTCTTATTTGTAATAGGCCTTGATAAAGTGTAGTACTCCATATCAGTGGATTACTCATTATCCTCTTTTATTTTTTAAATTTAAATAGCCTCTTTTTTTTTTAATTTTCTTCTCACTTGGCACTGGGATTCGAACTTGAGTCCTCCCATCCTTCAGCACGCCTGCCCTGCATCCTAGGCATTGAGCAACCCTGCCCGCCAGCTTAAATAGCCTCTTTACAAGGGCAGAAAACTCGGAACAAATCTACTGTCTTAACCTTTTACATGTACCTGATACCATTTTTTGGGATAACAGAAAAGTGCACAGCTATCAACACAATATTCAGAAAAGACTAACCAAAAAATCACCTAATTGCCTCTGCAGCTGGGTAGGTGGTACTTAGTAGTATGTGGTTACATAACTAAGAGCAGGGAAAGAGTGAAAGACTTTGGGGCCCCATTCCTGACAGCAATTAGCAAAGGAAACAACTCAGATGTCTTGGGCAGCAGGAAAGATAGTCAAGAGCCACCTACAAACATGGAAGAAAGTCCAAAGGTATAAGAACTTCTTGATCTAACCAAATAGACCAAAGGTAGGTTTTTCTGCTCCTGCTTAATAGTCAAATTTCCTTAGATTTAAAGCTCTTTTGATAATTTTGTGATTTCAGAAGGATATTATAAGCAATATAATAGGCCTATAATTGTAAAAGTCTGCTTTGGAAAACCTTCCTGAGGTTTAATTTTCCTTCGTATTCAAATCAAACAGTGCTATTCTCATGTAGTAGGTATTCTTAATACTTGAGACTTTAGCACATTATGACATTAGGTACTAGGTAAACATCAAAATCTCTCATTCCCCACTCTTGAGCTCCAATACCTGTATGAGGGAAGGCATCACTGGTGAGCTGGTGACACCAATCACTGCATTGATAGTCTCCACAACAGACAGCATCTGGCAGAAGTACACCATGTCAGCCACGGCGTGGAATGTGTCATAAAAGGACTCTGTAGACACAGGTACACATTAAGGGTAAATCTACTGGTAAATTCCAACTATTTCTCAAACTAGACCACTCTTTACATGACTAGAATTTTGGAAAAGGTAACAAACATTCAGTCCAATTCAAGTTTCTAACTAAGCTGGACTAAAGGAGGTCTCAGGGACTCCCAAAAGAACTAATTCCACTGGTTTAAAGAAGATGAACAAACAACCCTGCATGCATCCCTTTCTTATTCCCATCTAGACTTCAGTTACTATATCCTGAAAACCCTATGTTCCAGGCAAAGAGGTAGCTCTTTTCAGAACCATCATTGCTTTCATTTAAAGCTAAAACTATCCCATCTATATTGCATGCAACCTAAGCCATCTTGAAAACTGTTCATCATACATAAATGCAAAGGGGTAAAAGTATTCAATAAAATTAGGTTTCAAAATCTTAACTGCTTGTATCTTTACACCTAATATTTTTTATTCTGAAAAATCTTTCTTATTGTTTTTGTTTATTTGTTTTTTGGCAGAACTGGAGTTTGACCTCAGGGCCTCACGCTTGCTAGACAGGCACTTTTACCCTTGAGCCACTCTGCCAGCCTGAAAATATATCTTAACTAAAAAAAAATTTAATGATTAAAAAAGCCTTATTAATAAGTTGTTCTCTGAAACATTCCTAAATGCATTAATGTAGAAAGTCTAAACATCCCAAAGCATACAAAGTCTGAGTAAACTGTATAGTAATTTTAAATGAGAGTTACTGCTACATGAGGTTACCAAATATGGAATCAATTATGAGTGATCTGCACCCTATCTTGATATCCTGTGCTTCTACATTCTTTTCCACAGAACTTCTCTACCAAGGCACCACTGATGTTTTTAGGCAGATTTTTTTTTTTCTTTTTTGCAGTACTGAGGATTGAACCTAGGACTTTGTACATGCTAGGCAGGAATTCTACCATTTGAGCCATACTTCCAGCCCTTCTATTTTGTTTCTGGGACCAGGTCTCGCTACAGACAGGATAATTCTTTGTCCGGCATAATGGAAAAAGTTTAGCATCCCTGAATCCCTGCCTACTGAATATAAGTAGTGCCTCCAAGTCATTGTGACAGCCAACAAACATCTCCAAATTGGGCATTTCCAATGTCCCCAAAGAAAACAAAACTGACCCCTTTAAAAAAAAAAAAAAAAAACCCACATAAAGGGAATCATTATCCACGTTTCTGATCTAAATTCCCAGAGTAAAGAGATTCCTTAGAAAGGCAAGCAAACATAGCTGGAAAATTATCACTAATGATCTAACAATTTAACTTCCATCTGTTCCCACTTCAGATCTGGCCTACTTACCACATCCAAGTCATGTTCATTGTCAACATTTAGCACCACGAGTAATGATTACAAAATGAAATTACAGATCTTTGAAGAAGGTATAGGACATCCCTAAAGTCAATTACATTAGTGATGGAGAACCACTCTCATCTGCATATGAAGGTACTGATGAATGAGGTTCTGGTAGAGTTAGACCAGTTACCAAAAAAGATGGCACTGTGGGAGCCTCACAAGAAAATGGTTTAAGTAACAGTTGAACAAAAGAGATTCCCTGCAGAAAACTGAAGACACTCATTAGTATTTCTGCAAAAATTACTCAATTCACAATTCTACTGCAGAGTTAAAGTGAAATGAAGATATATAGTGCTTTTTGACTAACTCTTAAGGAGTTGATGCCAAATCATAACTTAAATTGATGTAAGATAATAAAAAATTTATTTTTACAATTGTAAATGTCACTTTTCAAGCCCAAATCTCAACCAAACCTTTTTGTCACTATTTACAATAAAATGGTGACATCCTTTCTAAGGAGACTCACTCTAAGTGGAACAGTATCTTTGAAATGGAAACTTGTGACTTAAAATTTGGCATATAGTAAATAAAAATTAGATATTATTGCTCTGACTTCATGGGAAATTTACCTTTGTTTCAATTCAATAACATAAGCACAGTTTCTAAGGTAATAGTTTTAAATAATATTGACATGTAAAATACTTATGATGGTACATTTAAAAAACAAGTCACATAATTATAAGCAATGATTATTTAATAACTAAAGGGGGAAAAAAGATTAGAAAGAAAAATATTAGTAGTAAGAGACAAAGACTTATTCACTTCCACTCCCAAAATCAACATCTCTGCTCTTCCATTTTCCAAACTTTCTTAAATTAGCACATTACTTTTATGATTAGAGAAAGCTTTTTGAAGTCTAAAAGATACTCATATGCTACTAGAATCAGGGTTTTAATAGTGGAAGTATAACAGCATATTCTTTCTGAAAGGAAAACTGGCAGATTGTAACAAATCCTTAAAAATAATTTGTACTTTCCCAGCTATTTAGGAAGTAGAGACTGGGAGATATTGGGAGGATCACAGTTCAAGACTTGCCTAGGCAAAAACTTAGTAAGACCCCCATTTCAATCAATAAGCTGGGTGTGGTATTATATATCTGTGATCCTAGCTATGTAGGAAGCATAATAGGAGGATCACAGTCTCAGTCTGGCCCCAAGCAAAAATGAAAGACCCTATATGAATAACAGCTTCAGCAAAAAGGGCTAGGAGCATGGCTCAAATAACAGAGTGTCTGCGTAGACCCCAGTACCACCAAACAAAATCAGTAATAACAATCTGTATTTTAATACTGAAACTACACTTTAAGAATTTATACTAAAGTTATTAATGATCTCTACAATAATTTAGCTATAAGAACTGGAACATAATCCATAATAGTACAAAGATCATAATCAACCAAATGTCTTGCAGCGATTGGTTAAATTACCATAAGGTGAACCACAAAACACATCCTTTTAGATAACGTTGCAAAAGTATCTTCACTGACATGGAAAGCTATTCGTGACATTTTATCTGGTAAAAAAAATAAAAGCTACATTATATAGTTACACTATGGTCCTAAGTATTTTAAAAGATGTGGCTTGGAAAGATAAAAGTGCTGAGAGTCTGCTACTGTCACAGAGAATCGTAACAGGGGTTGGTTTGGTTGTTTTGTACTAAGTTTTTATTTTCTGATTTTTCTGCAATTAACATTTATTTTTATAAATTAAGTAATGTAAATTAATAGAAAGTTTTCTTTAATGGAGAGTTTGCCAAGCCCAAGAGTTTCTAGATAGCTCAAGAATTTGTTGCCATTGTATTTATAGGGCAAGTACAAGTGGAACTGCCATTCATCAACATACTTTATTCAAAAGAAAACTATGAGGAGCAAACTATGACCCTTGGAGCCAGACCCCAGTCTTGAGGGAAAGAATTGGACCAGAAACTCTATCTATTCTGCTAGGTTTAGAAGAGGCTGAGAGCCATAACAGAAATTACCAGGCAGCTTCCATTAAACACACAACCCAGATAAGTTAGCAGCTTTTGTTTTTATTTTTGTCCTCTGTTGTCTAGGCTAGTCTCCAACCTCTGGGTTCAAGCAACCCTCATGCTTTAGCCTCTCACATAGCTAGGAATATAGGCAAATATGTTAGTACATCCAGCAACATAGGAGCTTTGGAACTGGGGTCACTTAACAGCCAGCAATACTATGTGGAATGCTCAGAATCCCAACTATGCTAGGTTAAATATATTAAATATTTATGTATCTAAATTTTCCTATTTTCTTTCTTCCTTTTTTTGGGTGGTACTGGGGTTTGAACTCAGGGTCTTGTACTTGCTAGGCAGGCACTCTACCACTTGAGCCATACCCCCAGCCTAAGTATCCCTATTTTCATTTCATGGCACTGTGATAAATCCATAGTAATAAAAGCTATAGATATGAGAATAACTGTGTCTGGGACTTCCTTCATTCCTTTATGTATTTTACATATATAGACCTCTAGTCGCACAACTCTAAGTAAGACCTTGAACATTTGGGAAGGTTGTTCCTAGCCTGCCATTGTACAATGCAGAATTCCTATGTGTTAAGCCTGGAAAAATAACATGTATTTGTATTTCTTCTCTTTCAAATGACTCCAAGGGCTGGGGATGTAACAAATGACTCCAAGAGCTGAGGATGTAACTCAGTGGTAGGGTGCTTGCCTAGCATGTACAATGCCTTGGGTTCCACCCTTAGAACTACAAGAAAGCAAAAAATGAAAAATTTCTATTAACGACTGCAGCGCTAACTATAACTCACTATATAAACCTCAGGGGGGAAATTTTAGAACTGAAGAATAAGAGTCTAAAGGACTTCTCATTATTTTTCTTTAGCCTATCTAAATTATTCTTATTTACTTCACAACATTCTACTGAGTAAATATGCCAAAGCAATCCTTCATTGATAGACATTTGGGTAGTTTCTAATTTGTCACTAATGTAAGTCATAACCAATATGTTTTTGAAAAAGCCTTTCCTATAGTTCTAATTTTTTAAGAACATATTTGTAGAAGTGACATCTCTAGCCTTGTTTCTATACTTGTTAAATGGAAAGACTATTCAGTCAGCCTGTTTCACAAGGCTATGGGAAAAAGCAGGAAGTGCTATGAACGTGGGGGTTACTATTAATTTTCAAAGCCAGAGAATGCTCTCGTTGGTGAACAGCAGGTCAAACTACTGAGAAAGGGAAAACTAGCCCTGAAAACATTTTGTACTTGCCTTTTCCCAAGATACAAAACCGCACTGTCAGGTTGACAAAGATCCAGGAGAATCCCAAGAACTGCACAAGATTATACATGAACAGGTATCCTTTCTTCAAGCTTGTAAGAGCTGAAAAGCAAAGCAAGAATGGGAGCTGTCACAGCAAGACAGGAGCATATGGGGCATGTCTGGATGACTTCAACCCTTTAACTGGGAGCTCCTAAGCTCCTACACAAATACCTGGTCCAGGTCTCTATTGTGGTCTCCTACCCCCCAAAAAAACATATTATGGCCAGGCATGGTGGCTCATGCTTATAATCCCAGCTACTCAGGATGCAGAGATTAGAAAGATGATGGTTCCAGCCCAGCCTGGGCAGAAAGTAGGTGACACCTCACCACAACAACAAAAAAACTGGGTATGGTGGTGCACCTGTCATCCCAGCTACACAGGAAGCCCCCTATCAGGCTGGATGGAGCAAAAACTTGAAACTCTGTCTTAGAAATAAAAGTGCTTGGTGCCGGTGGCTTGTGCCTATAATCCCAGCTCCCTGGGAGGCTGAGATTGGGAGGGTCACGGTTGGAGGTCAGCCTGAGCAAACAGTTCAGACTCATCTCCAAAATAACCAGAACAAAATGGACTAGAGGCCTGGTTCAAGCAGTAGAGTATGTGCTTTGCAAGTACAAGGCCCTGAGTTCAAACCCCAGTTATGAAAAAAAAAGTAAAGCAAAAAGGGTTGGGAACATGGTTCAAATGGTACAGTGCCAAACTGACAAATACCAGACCAAGTTCAAACCACAGTACCACCAAAAAAAAAAAAAAAAAAAAAAACGTATGAGGAGAGGAACATTCGTTGCATTCCCAGGTATGTTTCCATCAGTGTTCTTTCACAGCTTTAAGGGATAGTAAATAGAAACAATAAATTTAGGAGAAAAACATGACCCCCTGGCAAGGACAGACTGACCTCTGCAGTAGCATTACAGAGGGAAAAGTTCTCCCCAGTTCGTGCTCTCATTATCTTAATAGAATCTACAGTTTCTTCTTTCCTATTTTTTTTAAGATCATGCTAGTCAACTAGCTCAAAGAAGTAGAAATAGTAAATGAAACACTAAATGAAAAAAAAAATCTGACATTTGGTCACATATTCACTAGCTGAACACCTATAATGTGCCAAGTACTGTGAGGGGCTCTACTGAGATACGAGGATAGTGACCACAAGAACTTACAAATGAAAAGCCGAATACAAACGTGAGAATGACAAGTAATGCCATTTGAAATTTTCAAGATAAGAAAATGTTATCAGGCTGAGGTAAGCACTAGGTAGGTCTATGTGGATAGAGCTGGGCCTCAACAGATAGGCAGGATAAGGACATGACCAAAGGAGGAAAACAAGAACATGAATTTTGTCAGCAGTATGAAGTTGGTAAAGGTTCAGCCAATTACAGAGTTAAGAAAATAAGGCTGAGACAAAGGAGGGATAAAGGAAAGGATGCTCTCAAGAGCAGGCTGAGGGTTTAGGTTTTGTTGGGGCATGTTTATTCTGGCTACAGATATTTTGCCTTGACACTTGGCTAATGCTCAAAAAAACCACATTTAACAGTGTAGTCAATCAAAAACAGCCTTACCCCAAGGCTGTCAGACTTCTAGCACACTTAACTTATCAAATTTTTTTCTTCAAAACTCCTTTCATCAGGAAATTCTATAAAAGTTAAAGCTTTAACTAACATACTAAAAATCTATACATAAGAATTTTTACATATTTTTAAGTTTATTCTTTTTAAAAACCAAAAATTAATTTAAATCTCAAGATGGCCTTTTTAAGTTGTTATTTTTTGCCTCCATTAATCCTCTTCCTTCCACTTTTCTATAAAAGAAAGAAAAAAGAAAACCATTGCTCTAAAACTCTCCCTTCCTTTTGGCATGCCAAATAAGTGCCACTAAAACATGAGAAAAGGTTAATTCAGGATAAATGAAGAGCCCTTATTTCATTCTGCTATTTGGAGAGTTCTTCACAGACAGACCTGCACAAGCCTGCCACTACAACAAAAGCTCTTCCGAGTACAGGTTCCATGATGGATTCATCTGGCTCCACAAGGGCCTGGCCCAATGTTTTCCATGCAACATGAATTTAATAAACAGATGTTGAACTTAACAGAACTATGACTCTTACTTACAGAGCTTCTTGCTTATAAGTGGTTGGGCAAATATAAATAGAAATGGATTTTTTAAAGGTTAATGAATAGCAGGACTATACAGAATACTCTTCACGTTTAAGATTGACAACCACACTTATTGATGACACAACCCTTCATATCTCACATGGGAGAAAAACACCAGGCTGCAGGAGTGCTGTCTTGGATCCATGCACATTTCCACATGCCTTTGCGGGGTTTGGCTACCACCTACCCTTAGCCAGTTCAGGAGACTGAGGTTCTTCCATTCTGCTGCACCAGCCTTGGAATACTCAGATTACATCAGGCCCCAAGTACTAAGGAAGCATTAAAGGTAAGGCTTTTGATGTGGGTGTGCATAGCTTAAGCAGGAAACATAAAGGACTTCTCATAACTCACCCGAACAGTCACATCCACCCAAATGCCCCACCTCCACCACAAGGGAACTGGAAACAACCTTAGCAGTAGTGACAACTTACTTTCAGGGGAGCCTTCACTTTCTAGTCTGAGTTTATTTAGGCGTTCTTCTTCCTAGAATTTAGACAAATTTTCCAAGGACACAAGTTAGAATTACCAGATGCTTACAAAAGCCCATGTGCTGAGTAAGGAATCTGACTCCCTCAGGCCACCTCTTCCAACTGTGTTCAGTCCTCCACAGGGGAAAAAGCCCCAGCTCCTGACTCCTCCTTACTTGGTAGCATTAGCACTGAAGCACAGAATATTCATAAAATTAAACCAATCAACTGGCTTCCAGACTGCCAAGTGGGCAATCTTGTAATCCTAAGAGCTGAAAAGGAAACCCAGAAGATTTGTTACAGCCACAGAAACAAAATGGAAGTTTAAGGCGGGAGGTATTTTTTAAGGCTCCTAGATTTCTAGTATAATCTTTCCAGAAGCTAAGATCCTAAGTCTAACATCAGTGTGAATTTATATTTAGCTTAACATAAACACAGAGGAACACATGTAGAAATATTTATAAGTACATGAATATGCAAGGTTTAGTATGCACACATGTATTTCCTTGCTCTGTCAGCCGACAGGTCCTAAAAGCAATGACACTCCAAGAGCAATGAACCCAGCACCCAGATTTTGGCTTCTAATACCACTCTTCAAAAAACAGAAAGCTTCTTGGAGAAATGGCTAATCTATGGCTGGAGCAAAAAATATACAAGTTGTATCTGGGACAGCTTATGTAGTGTCAGAAAGTAAGAAAAAAACTAAAAAAAAAAAAAATAAGCCCCACCACGATGGAACTTTTTCAAAAGGACACAAAGCCAGGTAAAAGAGTACCCAATGGTCAATGCTGGAATGATCTGAGCAACAAAATACTAGATTATAATACAAGTATAAAGCAAACATCCATAAATTTTTATTGATATAAATGGCTAAATAGGTAAATAAATGGGAGAGAATAGACAAATCTCCCTGCAGAAAATTTCCAAAGTAAGTACAGTTCACGCTGAATGGATATGAATTATAACTTTGTAACTCCCTACTCCTTAAGTTGGGCTCTGCAGAGTGACTTTCTTCCACAGTTATAGAAAAGAAAGCGGGAGGGGGAAGGGACACAAACATTGCCTCAGCCAGTTGATCTAAAACAATATCCACAGTGATATGTCATGTTGACAATACATATCCTTGATATGATATGATAAGAACGGCACTTACCCCTTGTGGTCTTCCTCCCCAAAACCCATCACCTTAGTCTGGTCATAGGAAAAACTTCAGATAAATCCCAAATGAAGCATCTACAATACACATGACAAGTCCTTCTCTAAAATCACATTACCACGTCTATGAATAAGTGTGCAACTTCGTCCCATTCTATCAGACTCTTAGAGGAACCTGAAGTGGCCCAAATAATTTGAATTCCTCATGTTTTCTATATTCAACGGCTATGCCCTGGGTCCTTACTAACCTTAGCTCTGAGTTCCATTTCTGCATCAGATTCATCCAGCCAGCGATCAAAGTCAGGAGCTAAAAACAGTGGGCGCTTCTCCTGCTTGGTGAGCCTCTCCCACCACTGACTCACCTTCTTCTGAACCGTAATGTTTACCTGCCTCTGGGTCAGTTTGTAAACCGGCTAGGGAAAAAAGTGAGAATGTGAGAATGCCTCTTCCATTCCCTAAAACCACCCCATGCCAGTGCAGCTCCCCAGAGAAGCTGTGCAGTATCTTATTCCCTCTCTTGCTTTGGTCCTGCTAGTCCTGACACAAAGAGAGCATCCACTCCAAAAGTGGGTGTAGTGAAGCACTGGTAAGACGGAGGCGTCTTTCTCTGGTTCTGTTGTAGCTCCTTGTTTCTCTACATGGCCTCTTCCTCCATCTCCAAGGCAAGCCCCATGACAGGTTCTCTGTACCTTATGCCAGGGATATTAGTGCTATGTCAAAACAATGAGCCCCTGTATGGGAAGAGCATTAAGCTCAAGTCCCCCAGAGATAACAGTGCAAATCCAGAAAGTGAGATACACCACCTGGTTGCATTCTCCCCCTTCATGTTAGAGAAGCTCCCCAGCTCTGAGAAGGGAGCCTTCAATTACATTTCCAGAAGTTTTTCTAAAGACCAGACAACCTTAGCCCTTTCTGATTTCTAGTTTTCTCATTGGCCCTATGGCAAAATCACATGAAGGCAACCTCCAGGCATGGGCTTCAACTACCCTATATTACCCTGCTCTCAAGGAGTGCCATATTCCTTTGTCATCTTTGGAATTTGAGAATACGAGAGCTGGAAGGGACCTTCAGATCATATCATCCAATCATTTAACACAGGAGAAAAATGGAACTTGTTTAAGTTCCTATCACTAATAAAGCCCAGATCTAACTGAGATTCTTAGTATTCCCATTACTCTGCAGCTAAAATCAGGGCTCTGTTCCAAATAAAAGAACTGTGGTTTTTATCTCCTCTTCCCCAGCTCCTGTCCCTTATTTCACTCAACTTCTAGTATTCATTTCTTGAAATGGAAAAGGAAGTAAGAAAGGAAAGAACATACCTCTGGCTTTACAAGGTCTAGGAACTCCAGGTGAAATTCATAGACATTGTCTCCTTTGGCACCATGTCCCTGAGCTACAAGGAAAATATGGATTATTATGAACTTGAGCACAGCGAGGTCACCCCAAAGTCAGCTTGGCACAGTTCTTTTGAAAGAATGCAAATACACTACTGATTCCTATCAAAATGCATGTGGGTTTGTGAGCAGAGCTACTCAACAGCTAGATAAGACAGATCCTGGACAAAAGTTTATCTACATATGCCCTCTGATGGTCTGTTTTGAACTGGATGATACCAGTACAAGTAACAGGCAAGAAAAAGGAACATAAAAAGGGACTAGAGACATGGCTCAAGTGGTAGAGTGCCTGCCTACTAAGTGCAAAGCCCTCAGTTCAAACCCCAGTACCACAAAAACAAAACATTCTTTTTAAGAAAAGCCAAAGGTGGCACATAGATATGAATTTAACTTCCATGTTGAGTCTGGTTCTAAATCCAGACTAGAGTGAAAATCATGTGTAGATATCATACTGAGCATGTTAAAGAAAGCTGCATAACTAGGGCACAGCTCAGTGGTACAGCATCTGCCTAGTGTGTGTGAAGCCTTGGGTTTGATTCTTAGCACCACAAAGGAAAAAAAAAAAGGAACGTTGCAGGGTAAATGCAACTTTACATGGAAATGCTGGATTATCTCAAAGACAGTTCTGAATCTAAAACCTTCCAACGAGGGACAGAGACTAGAAGAAAAATCTGACTTCTCCTTTAGCGTATCCCGACAGGAACAAGGAAAGAAGAATGAAGAACAACTTCCCTTTCTCTGTGCGTGTGTGTTACTGGGGGATGGATTCAGGCCGTCACACTGGCTGGGCATGACCTCCTGATTTCTAGCCCAGGATTCTGCTTCCCAACAGTTATCTATGGCCTATCCTAGTGGGAAGCAGGGTTTTAAACAGAATTTTTGACTTTTCTAATCACGTATTTCAAAATAGTCGGGTTTACTCCAAGAATATCAAAAGGGTAACATCAGTAAAAAATGAATAAAACAGATGATAAAAATAGAGAGGAACTACCAGCCTAAGTCCAGAACTGTGCAGAGAGCTGGGAGTGCTGGCCAGGTACTGACCTTTGAAATGCAGCACATTTTCACTGATGCTGATGGCAGGATTCTGTGAAGAGAGACCAAAGATGCAAGAAGGCGTTTTAATGAGAAAAATGAAATTAAACCAGGAATTTCTTTTACCGTGGAAACTCAACGTCCTATTCTGTGCCTCCCCCAGAGCGTATGTTTAGCAGTTTATTCACATCTCTGAGTAAGGTTTCTCCCTATCTGTCCATACCTGAGACTGCAGCCTCCTCCAAGGACTCTAAACTGCTCTAACTGTGAACAGTCAGGTTCTGAATTAGTCCATTCTGAGAATGAATGGCAAAACATCCACGGTGCTCTGTGAGGTATTACACAGATCTCCAAGAGTCAGACCCCAAGATGTAGAAAAGAGAGTCCAGTGGAACAGATGAATCATTTCCTGTAAGAAGTTATCAAATAGCTATCAAGAAACGTATGCTCAAGACCAAAATAGTAGTAAAAGGCAGTGAGTGTTATGGGAGCTAAGAGAATAAGTACAATGGCTAGGGAATGCTTCACCAAGGCAAGACCCTATACTGCAACATGAGGAATACACTAAAAGGCTAAGGATGCACTATGAATACATCATCCTCTGTGATTCCAATCCTTTCCTATCTGTGGAAACTTGCTTTAGGAAGTAATACAGTCAACTTTAGTAATTGTTCTAAGCAAACGTAAAAAGAATGTGTACCCTGGAATTGTTGGGTGTGGTGTTCTATGTATGCCCATTGAGTTTGTAATTGTTTTACACAATCTATATTTGTAATGAATTTTGTCTTTTTATTCTATTACTGAGAAATCACACTATTGCACATTTATCCATTTCTCCTTGTACTTTTGCTAATTTACATATTATAAGTATATATAACTTTAATATACTTACATCTTCCGGGTACATTGAAACCTTTATCTTATGAGCTGAACTGTTTATTTCTTTTTTTTTTCCCACTTTTGAACTTTCTTTTTTTTTTTCCTTTTTCTTTTATTATTCAAATGTGCATACAAGGCTTGGTTCATTTCTCCCCCCTGCCCCCACCCCCTCCCTTACCACCCACTCCACCCCCTCCCTCTCCCCACCCCCAATACCCAGCAGAAACTATTTTGCCCTTATTTCTAATTTTGTTGTAGAGAGAGTATAAGCAATAATAGGAAGGGACAAGGGTTTCTGCTGGTTGAGATAAGGATAGCTATACAGGTCATTGACTCACATCGATTTCCTGTGCTGGGTGTTACCTTCTAGGTTAATTCTTTTTGGATCTAACCTTTTCTCTTAGTACCTGTTCCCCTTTCCTATTGGCCTCAGTTGCTTTTAAGGTATCTGCTTTAGTTTCTCTGCGTTAAGGGCAACAAATGCTAGCTAGTTTTTTAGGTGCTTACCTATCCTCACCCTCCCTTGTGTGCTCTCGCTTTTATCATGTGCTCAAAGTCCAATCCCTTGTTGTGTTTTGCCCCTTGATCTAATGTCCACATATGAGGGAGAACATACGATTTTTGGTCTTTTGGGCCAGCTAACCTCACTCAGAATTGATGTTCTTCCAATTCCATCCATTTACAGCGAATGATAACATTTTCGTTCTTCTTCATGGCTGCATAAAATTCCATTGTGTATAGATACCACATTTTCTTAATCCATTCGTCAGTGGTGGGGCATCTTGGGCTGTTTCCATAACTTGGCTATTGTGAATAGTGCCGCAATAAACATGGTGTGCAGGTGCCTCTGGAGTAACCTGTGTACAGTCTTTGGTATATCCCCAAGAGTGGTATTGCTGGATCAAATGGTAGATCGATGTCTAGCTTTTTAAGTAGCCCCAATTTTTTCCAGAGTGGTTGTCTAGTCTACATTCCCACCAACAGTGTAAGAGGGTTCCTTTTTCCCCGCATCCTCGCCAACACCTGTGTTGGTGGTGTTGCTGATGATGGCTATTCAAACAGGGGGTGAGGTGGAATCTTAGCTGGTTTTAATTTGCATTTCCTTTATTGCTAGAGATGGTGAGCATTTTTTCATGTGTTTTTGGCCATGTGAATTTCTTCTTTTGAGAAAGTTCTGTTTAGTTCACTGCCCATTTCTTTATTGGTTCATTAGTTTGGGAGAATTTAGTTTTTTTAAGTTCCCTATATATTCTGGTTATTCAGTCCTTTTTCTGATGTATAGCTGGCAAATATTTCTCCCACTCTGTGGTGTTCTCTTTCAGTTTAGAGACCATTTCTTTTATGAACAGAAGCTTTTTTTAGTTTTATGAGTCCCATTTATCTATGCTATCTCTTTAGTTGCTGTGCTGCTGGGGTTTCATTGAGAAAGTTCTTACCTCATACCTACTAACTCCAGAGTATTCCTACTCTTTCTTGTATCAACTTTAGAGTTTGGTGGTCTGATATTAAGATCCTTGATCCATTTGAGTTAATCTTGGTTAAAGGGTGATATACATGGGATCTAGTTTCAGTTTTTTGCAGACTGCTAACCAGTTTCCCAGCAGGTTTTGTGAAGAGGCTGCGATTTCTCCATCATATATTTTTAGCTCCTTTGTCCAAAGAAAGTTGGTTATAGTTGTGTGGCTCATATCTGGGTCCTCTATTCTTTCCACTGGTCCTTCATGTCTGTTTTTGTGCCAGTACCATGCTGTTTTTATTGTTATTGCTTTGTAATATAGTTTGAAGTCAGGTATTGTGATACCTCCTGCATTGTTCTTTTGACTGAGTATGCCTTGCTATTCGTGGCCCTTGTGTTTCCATATAAATTTAACAGTAGATTTTTCAATCTCTTTAATGATGTCATTGGAATTTTGATGGAATTGCATTAAACATGTAGATTACTTTTGGGGAGTATCGACATTTTTACTATGTTGATTCTACCAATCCATGAGCATGGGAGATCTCTCCACTTCTATAGTCTTCCTCAATCTCTTTCTTCAGAAGTGTATTAGTTTTCCTTGTAGAGGTCTTTCACATCTTTTGTTAGGTTTACACCTAGGTATTTGATTTTTTTTTGAGGCTATTGTAAATGGAATTGTTTTCATACATTCTTTTTCCAGTTTGCTCATTGTTAGTGTATAGAAATGCTAATGATTTGTCTATGTTGATTTTATATCCTGCTACCGTTGCTATAGCTATTGATGATGTCTAGGAAGCTTCTGAGTAGAGTTTTTTTGGGTCTTTAAGGTATAGGATCATTGTCGTCTGCAAACAGGGATATTCTGACAGTTTCTTTACCTATTTGTATTCCTTTTATTCCTTCTTCTTGCCTAATTGCTCTGGCTAGGAATTCCAGTACTATGTTGAATAGGAGTGGGGATAGTGGGCATCCTTGTCTGTGAACTGTTTATTTCTAAAAATACTCTTATCCTAAAAGTCTGTGAATACCAGCATACCTATACCTCAGAGGATCTACATTTGCTTCTGTAGGGACCCTACTAGTTCAGACCACTTTAAGAGAAATTCATGACTTGAGGCATATTTTTCATCTCCTAAATTGTGTGAATCTGGGTTGCATCACCTTTCATGAGCCAATTAACTTTTAATTTTATTTTTTATTTTATCATTTTTACATCAGTCACATGTATATACATTGTTTGGGCCACCCCACCCCCTACCAATCGACTTTTCACTTCTCAAGGATCTTCCTTCTACTTTGGTCAGTGCTAAACAACTAGAGATAAGGAGATAGGGTGGGTTTAATTCTAGTTACTCCTACCCCTAAGTGTATAGTCTTCTAAAGTACAGTTTGCGGGAAGAAGGTTTCCTATTATATGTCATACTTGGCTCTGATCTTACTTCTAATATCCTGCACTAGTTAGACTGCCAAAACTAAAGTTCAGGTTCACTGAGTTGGCCAAATGTCCTCAAGGGAGAATCAGTTTCAGTGTTTAGCTTATCTAAGTTCCCAATTTCATTTCTACCTTGTTGACTTTTTGACATTTTTATTAAACACTTTAGTTATTTTTAATAGAAAGACTGACTTGCACAACCTAACCTATCTTTTACTAGAAAAGTAATAAGCTTTTGTTTGTGAGAGAGAAATGGATAGGGAAAAGGATAAAAGATGACTTTGCAGTCTGCTAGACCTGGGATCATACCTTAATTATATCACTCTTATTTACTTCTGTCATTCACTTTCAAATCACAACTGTGTCATTTTTAAAATGATAAAACCACTTACTTTCCAAGACTGTTCTCAGATATAAATTATAGTAACATCTATAGAGTGTGAAAACTAGTAAGATCTCAAAAGCCTGTTGTTTCTCTTCCTCTGACTAGTGTCCTTCTAAATTTCCATGCCTGTTGGACATTATCTTCCAAAATCCAGGTCAGATGTTAATTCTTCTTCCCTCCTCTTCACCTCCAACATCAGAATTAACAGCTTCCTTACAACTCTGTATTCACCTTTATTATAATACTTATTACACTGGTCTGTAATTTTTGTTTATTGGTTTATCTGCTAGACTTAAGTTCCTCAAGAGCAGAGACTGTGTCTTACTCATCTCTATATCCACGATGCCTCAATAATTGTTTAGGGAATTGAAAGTAAATCAAATCACTCCATTTCATAGTCTCTGACAGAAGTACAAAGAGTTCAGAACTTTTTGCTACATAACCCTTTAGATTCAGGGCTTCCTTTCTCAAATCATTAACATTTATCTTTGCCTGGGTATGATTAACATGTGTGCAAAAGAATTAATACAGCAGGCCTGAAACTGCAGTCTTAAAAGGGTCTGCTTTCAACATCAGCCTTTGGCTGCCATCTGGAAAACTTGGCTTTCCTCCAGTTCCTAATTAATAAAATGGTTCACTGTGCCTGGACTGTGCCTACAAACAATCTGATTTATGGTGAAAATTAGCTTTCCTTCAAGGAGACTGGAATTTTGATACATGCTATTCAGAGGTTATAAGTAACAAGCCCTCCAAAAACTTTGGATCCTGAATTTCTCAGGTTTCCCTACGCAGAAACATTACACGTAAGTTTCTACATTTTTTTGTTGCTAGAGAAAAGATGATGGATTTTCTTTTTCAACCTACTATGCCAAAATCCATTGCCATTCTTAGTCTTTG